AACCTTAATGATTCTATGATTCTAACATACCAGATATAGTAAGACTAAGGTTCTTCATTTTTCCCCTATCATCTGCAATCAATCACCTGCCAGTAAGGAAAAGGGATTGGCAGCAGCCTCCTTTAATAACACATCCAAGACTCTAATCTTACTCTATGATACAAAAAAGGAAATTGCACGGCTGTAATGTCACCAAGGGCAACTAAAGGCACTAATGTTAGCGGTGGCTTACTGTGCTGCCACTGGAAGCTCTTGTGGAAACACTAACCCTATTTTTTGTATGCGGTGCCTGTTACAAAAAGCTTCACATTGCTTAACCTGATTTTCTTCTCTGGATTTAGTTGTCATTTGTGCACTGTATTCCCATTAAATAAATTATTATTTACAAGCTTTGGACATTCCCCAATATCAGGAAGGAAGAGAAGGTGTTTAAAGTATCTGCTGTTGGCATTAGCCAGACTGGAAGCCACAACAGTCGAATATCTAGATTTTTTCAGTCTATCTTCCCTTCAAACACAATGCCTTCTCTAGTAAAAAACCTTTGTTATGCTTACCTGGTTTTCACATCTACAGGGATTTCTTTCTTGTTATTTGTTAGCAATTTTTTTGTTTTCTGTTTTACTTGCACTATTTCATTTTCAGGTTTTTCTGGTATAACTTTTCCCTTTTGTTTTTCAGGTTCCTATAAAAGACATTATAATAACATGGTAATGTTAGTAAAAAGTAAAGTCCCTCTTGCATCACATCATACATAGTATAAATAGGGCTAAGGAGAGAATGCTGTTTGAAAACATGAGCATTTTTGCAGCAGAGAAGGTATATTTTTACCACTTAATGAGTATACCTATAAAATGTGGTAGCTATTTTTTCCTATTTGTAGAAGTAAAATAAAAATATCTAGCAAATTAATGTGTTTCAAGCAGATCTGATGTTTGCAAATACAGAGCTCCTTGGGCCATGGCCTCAGAGTCTACTTAAAAAGATGCTGGCTCTCTACTGAGACCTGTACTGCATCTGTAGTATGCAGTCCAGGTCGTCTTAAAGAGACTCTTCAACAGAGCAAAGAATATGAGCCACTTCACCATTTAATTTATTACTTTTTTTTAAACCACACTTGTAAGACTTTCTGAATACAGGTATGCTGTCAAATAGCCATCCAGAAAAATCAAAGGTGACTTTCAAGTGAAAACTTACTAAACTGTAACTTCTAAATTACATTACATGGATTTATTTTCTTTTTTCCTCCAGCTAGAATCCCTATCTTTTCCAAAGTTCAAATTTAAGATGTTAAAATGTAGGCTTGGTTTTCTTCTCTTTGCCATTACCTTTGCTTTGTTTGCACAAGATTTAGGACAAAATATTTATGACAATCTGACCACTACACAAATTGTTAGAGCTTTAGTTTATTACCTAGAAGAACATAAGCCAAATGAGTAAAATAAAGGTAGTGGTATTGTCAAAGGTAATTAATTTAACTACCTGCTGACAAGTTACCACCAGTGAACTGACCCTTTGTAACTGATGAAATGCATGGTTTTAGCATACACCTTAATAATCAAGTAAAATTAGTGTCCATACTTTGGTGTTTTATTCTGCAAACAGAATAGGCTAGAAGCGTGCAGAGAGACAACTGACCACAATGCTAATGACAACTAGTGGCTTATTCAAGGATGCTCACAATCATAGAGGAGCAAATTCTATGGAGAAGTGAAGGCAAGGATTGGGAAAGATGTTTTTTAATTAACATTCTTCCTTTGTTAGGTGTAATAGTATATGAAAGCTCGGCATCAGGTGGGGGGAGGAGATTGTGTTCCTGCTCTAACAGGTGCCGCACTAGCTACACCGGAGCCTCCTTTTATGAGCCATGCTGTACCTCTTTGAGAAGTGGTTCTGTATCTGGGTTGGAGGTTTCAGTTGTGGTTGAAGAGCTGTCATCATCTGCCAAAGAATCCTTCAGTTCATCCTCCTGTTGCTTTCCCTTTCCTCTTCTGTCCTTTTCTTCCCGCTTCTTCTGTGGCTTAGCCTTGCGCTGAAGTGTTTTCCCTTTCCCTAGGGAAATAAGGATGCTTCAGATTCTCAGCAGCAGTACTCTGAGATAGGCTAGAGTTCACTTCCTTTTAGAGGCTAACCCACATGACTAAGCCTCTGATGTTCATCATCTCTTACGATATGCTAACCACTTACAGCCACTTCACCCCAAACTTGAGCAATAGCATCAAACCTGAAGAACCCTGATCTCCATATTTATGCTCCTGAGCCCTACCTCCATTGTCTTTCTGTAGATGGTGGGCACCTGGCTACCTATAATTCTTCTCTGCTCTGTTCCTGGCATTCCTTTTAAACACCTCAGAATCCAATTTGACCAGACTAGATTTAAACATGAACTTCAGAAGATGGTACAAGCTTTATCATCTGAACAAATGAAGAACAGAAATTATTAGCATGCTTGTCAGTTAAAAACAAAACAAAACAAAACACAACTTACAATAAGACTGGAGTGGATGAGAAAAATCACTAAGAGTGTCTAACAAAGATGTAAAAAACCAAACCCCCAAAAGGTGAAATCTCAAACCCAAGTATTCTTTCTCTCCTTGACATATTTTATTCTTTCAGAGCGTACTATTCTAAGAAGTATGACTCAGCTGAATGTAAAATAGTTTGGCTTGATGTGTTAAAGTGTTACTGCGTCTCAAAGTAGGGAAAACAATGAGTTACTCCAGGGGATGGTTAATCACTCTTCTTGAAGCAATCCACATATAAACAAATAATGCTACTTGAACAATTGATTATGTTTTTCATGCAATTCCTACATGCTAACTGAAATGTAGCATAGTATAAGGTCAAAATTTAGAGGTTTAAAAGCCTTCAAAATCAAGGCTTGCGCAATAGGCAGGATTAGGCTCCTGCGGAGTAAAAAAGTTATCAAAAAAAGCAATACAGAGAAACTCCATGCACATGTCTGGAGTCATCATTATGTTACCATCATGTCTTGTTATTCTCTTACAGGATGAGTGCATTCACAATATTCTTATGTCTTTCATTAGATGTAATAGATGCCTTTACCAATAAGATCTTTCTTCGACATTGCCCTTCCAACTGAGCATTCTCATTTCTGAGTCACACAGTGCCTGCCTGCAGCTTCCAGGGCGGACGTAATAGTTCACTCGCGTAAAGACTCAATGAACCTGCGCTGTAAGTAAGAGGATCAGCCCCTACTGGGATTTGTACAAGCTCAAGTCAGAACTGAGTCTGGAAGCACAATGATAGCTGTCATATTTCAGTTGGCAAAATGTTCCTATGGGAAAGCTTGTACCTGAATAGAAATTTGCGTTCAATATTTTGGCAAATACCAGATACATGTCAAAGGGCAGTGCCTCCCAACTCTTTTTTTTTCCAGACTTAAGATCAATGTTTTCAGTATCAAGAACAATAAAAATAGTGGAGATAAAATATTCTTTTTAGTGTGCGTGCAAATAAAAGCGTAAATACGAGTAGATCTTTGTATGGAAATTTTCTTGGGGGTATTCTGGTTTTGTCTCAGAAGGCCTCATTCTAAGATTTGCTTTAAAATTTAGTCTACATTCAGGATTGCTAAACAGTTTCATGTTCATCATTAGAAAAATCTATGTAAAATGTTATAATATAACATAAAGCAGCTGTTTAACAAAAGTCTAATGTAGTCTCTGCCACAGTCTGCTAGGACCCAAGTATGAGGAAACTGAAACAGAAGACTATAAAGACGGGAATCTGCACAGGATATCATGCCTGTCAGTTTTAGTCCAGAAGCTGCTGCTTCTGCAAATGTTTGTGACTAGCTCTAGCTATTTATCTAAAGACAAATAACAGTGTGTGTATGTAGATCCAGACAGATAACTGAACTTCCCCTATGGATTTACATTTTCAAAGAGGGCAAATGGAAATGGGCAGGTTTTATTTGATGCACTGAGCTTTTGCGAGTCAAGTTACAGATTACAGACAATTTCTCTTTTTTATAAAGCTTGTCAACAAAAGACATCTACATGCATAAATCTGATCTATTGATCTGAAACAATGAAGAGGTCAAGAAAACTATCTGGACTGCAGCTATTTCCTAAGACAAGCTCCCAATACACAGACTGATAGAAATTACTATAGATACAAAAATGTTAACATAGGTACACCACATTATTTGCATCTGGAATATGCTTCTGAAACCAAACTCAGGGGTCCCCACATGCTGTGTAGCACCTGCATCGTACAGCAAGATTGGAGTGCAAGAGCTGGCTTCTTTCTAGGTTGAACTACAAACAGAAAATGCACTCCAAAAGCTCTCCCAGCCCTTTCAGGCATTCAGTACATGGACTGAATCGGTCCACCGTAAATCCCCCCAGACACACCCAGGAGGACATTGTGCCGTCACTACCAGCCATTTTGCTTGCCGGACCTCCAATACTGTGATGTTTGCTAATGTAGACAGTGCCTATGAAACCTATCTACAGCCGTGTCATTTTCTAGAGTACTATTTAGCCTTTATGAGTAAACAAATAACTGACAAAACTGGTCAGAATTCTCTTAAGATTAATTCCCCCCAATCGCATCCCCTTGTCTAAACTAAAACCAAAAAAGCTCAGAAATAAAGTAGCATAGTTCATCAGGATTCCAAAACCTCTTATCACTTCAGAGTCTCCATTTTGAAAGTCCAGATGAAATATCACATCCACTCTGAACTCCTTAAGAACATTCTGCTCAGTTTTACTTAACAGAGTGAAGCTTTCCTCTTTGGTGGTGGGTGATCATACAGATGCTTCAGGGTTTATATGCCTTTCCACCATTCATTTTCTTAACTTTAATAAGCAATGCAGTTATCAGTACTGTTTATGTACAATGGTGGTGTTAGAAAAAAAAGTGAAAAATCACATAGAAATAAACACATTAAGATCAAATTTATAACCACATAACTCTGGGACACAACTGAAATAGCTAATACAAAAAGCATGTTCTAATTTAACAAATAACTGACATATAATTTTAAAATTCTGAATGTATCTAATGTATGAAATCCAGTAAATTATTTTAAGCATTATACAATCAAAAAGATGCATAAACAATTCAAACTCAACTCTAACCTCATGCAAAGATGAATGTAACTTATAAACACAGGTGCCATATATTAATTTGCTGACCCCTGACATCGAGTGTCTTCTACAGCTGCAAGCCTGGGCATGAAGAATTCCATTCCCAAATGATATTACAGGGGTTTACAAATCTCTCTCTTCCCACCCTCCCCCGCCCTTTATCCCCATCTCAGTTTTTGTAACACACTAGGACAACTTCCTTTTCCTCTTTTCAACCCCCTGCCCCAAGCAGAAATTATGCAGGTGGGAGGGATGGATGCTAACCCAGAGGCCACGGAGTAGCAGCCAAAAGCATGTTTCTTATTCAGAGGGTCAGATATCTAAATATTCACACTTGCTTTCATCAAAATGTTCCAAAAATGTCTGCAGGAAGAATCACAACCTAGCATTGCACAGAGAACTTCACTGCCATAAAACAAAGGAAGTGTTCAAGACCCAGGCCCATACAGCAGGGAAGGGAACAGCTGAGAAGCTATCACTTTCCACGCTATGAAAACATGACCTTTATAGTTGATTAAATCTTGTCCTGTGGCTTACATAATGAATCACCCTGTTAAAAAAAGCAGAATTGTATTACCTTTGTTTTTTGCTAGTGGAGATGGGGGCTGCTCTGTAAACACATCTGGGGAAGGGGATTCTGGGTGGTCAAAGTCTTTTTCCATAGCTTCTATGAGCCCAGTGAGATCTGAATCCTCCGAGCTGTGCCTTCTGCTGCTGGCACATTCGCCATGGGTTGGGCTGAGGAGCGGTAGCTGTGGCAAAGCACTTTCAGTCTGTTGGTCTTGCTGCTGGGGCCCGGATGCTGGGGGTTGCTGGAGGGGCTGCTCTGCCAAAGCTGGTGCCTGCTGCTGCATCGGCTGTTGGTTCTGCCTTGTCCCCTTAGCTCTTTTGCCTGCGGCATGAGTCTGAGCTGTGGCACCTGAATCCAAGGTAAAGGCACCTGCTCTGTTCACAGACTGCACAGAAGCTGCTTGTGCTGAAGTCCGATTAGGTATGCTTGAACTGGTTTTGGATTTGATGTTTTCAACATCAGGTGCATTTCTATTGCTGTGAAGGTGTGCTGTTGCATTGCATTGTTTATGATTCCCTGCACTGGATCGTGAAGTTGAACTGCCTGGTCCATAGATCCCTCTGGATGAACTATGATTAGAATCTGATCCAAGTGCATTCAAGCTGGAAGAACAACAAGTGTTTAAATATACCCTACAACATTTCCATTCTTCCACGTGAAAAAAGAATCACTATGTGCAGAAGAAACCTGGAACTACACTGTTCATGGCGTATAACCAACAAAAATGCCTAGAACTTGTTTGACAAGTCAGTAGGCTTTACCATTTCCTCTTCAATTCCTTGCTGTAGATATGAACATAAACACAGTAAAATGACAGTCAATGTGTATATTGGAGGGAACACTGAAAGGAGATGATATTTTTTTTAACTTAAGACACCAAAGGTAGGAACTTCTGTCCTGCAATTTTTCTGCAGTCTATACCTTTCAAGAACATTAACAGGAAACTTGACAGGGTTTGGGTTTGCTTGGGTTTTTTTCTTCCTTTCTTTTTTTCCAAAAGATGAATATTCGTCACAATCACAAAATCCATCGTTTTATCCAAGCCATCTTTTTATAAGTAACTGGGAGGGTCTTTATTTCATTCACCTGTTCTAAAGAGCAGTATCACCTTCTTACTGGCCTTACGAATTAAAAAATTAAAAAGAGGGAAACATCCCACAAAAGCCCCGAACATATACTTACTTTCCATCAGGTGAAATTCCAACTATTCTCCTGAGATCAAGTGGCCTTCCCATATCAAAGGGAGGGTTTGAGGCCTCAAAGGATAAGCGTCTCCTAAATGGCTCCCAAATTCCTTGAGCTTCTAGATAGGCTGTTCCAATTACCAAGAGAAAGAGTACACTGCAGAGAAGAGAGGCATTTCTCTAAGTATTTCTTAGTTTTGAGCATTTTAAGGTTAATGAATCTAATCACACAAGACAAAAACTGTATCTTGTAATGAAAAGCTGAAAATTTCATCCAAACCACAACTTGGTCTGATAGAAAGATAAAATCCACAAGTCTAGCATGATATACACATCACTGACAGTGAGAACAGAAGCTAGATGCAAGTCTGAAATGCAGTTGCCGAGAGATACAAATAAAATGGCATCCAAATGGTCAGCAGCTCTCACAGCTGGTTGGTGCAATTCCATTTTAAAAGCAGAGACCCTCTGCAGTGAACTACACTGCTACCCAGAGAGGGAAAATTTAAGAGCATGATTTCAAGGAGTTTTACAACTAACTGCATCTGCTGCAATACTGTGTTTAGGAGTTCTCCCACTTATATAACACACTGCAGTGAACTAAATTTTTTGAACGAAGCAATAAAACCACTGCAGAGACCTTCATCATACTGCTGTCGATTTCATCTTCTAACAGGTGGGAGTTTTGGGGGGAGGAGACATAATGATGACGACTAAAGCTTGTCTTGCCTATTGCCCTAGAAAGTTTATGAGAAAAGAATTTTAAATTAGCAACTTCAGTTTCTGTTCTCCCCCGTTTCGACTGCCAGTTTTTCTAAGCCAAATGTATGAAAACCAGCATCAATTCACACAAAAGGATGAGATACCTCTTGCATAATTTTAGATTAAAGAATCTAGTCTGGATATCATCTGTTAAGATTTAACTATCACCAAAAATACAAACAACTCTGGAGACCAAGTCAGCTGTTGATAGCTGGTTAGCAGGGCTTTTTTCCCCTGCCCCAGGGAGTAGCAGGGATTCTAGATGCATAGAACGGCAGAAGGTAGGAAAGATAATTTTCATCCAAGATGTTAAGAAGCAACAGAAAAGTTAAAGAAATAGGGGAATTTTTCAGCCAAGCTTACTCAAAAGAGTAATGCTTGCCTTGGGTGCCATGCCATCAAAAATTGAATTACCTTTGGGATGTAAGGAATAAGGTATAATCTCTTTCATTTGTTCTTTGTAATCCATGGTGCTATTTAAAAGTTTCACAAGACTGATACCAACAGGAACATGACATCTCTATCAACCACCATGGCGCTACACAGGACTTGGGATAGAGTGCACAGGGCTTTCGTGGGCTGGTGAGGGCACACTTCCCCCTCAGCCCCACAGCACTCCCCTCACAGTATCAATGCTGGGCTCCACAGAGGTTCTATGGAGGATCTGGAGCAAAAGGTCACCTTGAGGGCTTCTCCTCCTTTGCCACTCTCTGGGTAAGGACTCTACTCCCTCTACATAAGGCAACTTTGGTGTTTTGCTAAATGAATACCAGCTTTGAAATAAAACAAATCTTGTTTTGTGGTCTTTTCAACTGCACTTTCTGGTTCTGGGGTGGTGGTGGTGGGAGCAGTGGTAGTTTGGGTTTTTTGCTATTTTAAAAAAATGTTATTAAATAAAATATAACTAACCTAAAGTGTTCATCTCATTTAAATTACAAAACAAATTACTGTGAGGAACACCACACAGTGGGGAGTACATGGTCTAGACACCCAAGAATGAGCTTGGTACATCCCTCTTTCCCCTCATGGTTTTATCCTGGAGCACACATGCCTAGTTGGCAAGTTCTTCACAACAAGTACCAGCTCCTTTGTTGTGTTTGTACATACCCTATCAAGTTGGACTTCAAAATTTGGAGCCACAAATATGGTAACAATCCAAACCCACAATGATTCAGGGAAGGCAACAATAAACACCACCTTATCATATTAAAAACATGAACTAGACAAACTCCTAGAGTTGTTCATTCCTAGAAATTCAGGACAGCTTTGCAGCAATATGGAAGTATTGTTTTAGTGGCAACCAGCAAACCCCTACATGATGGCAGTAGTAGTAGTTGGAGGCTGGCTGTGCACAGGATCCTTGGAATATTATGAAATGGTCACTTTAGGACTGTTCTGTAGTTTGCTGCTAAGAAGGATGTTTTGTACTTGTAGGAAAAAGACATAGTGACGGAAAGGATTAGTATTCTGGATTCTTTTGTAAAGTCTAATTAATAAATACAGTACATTTAAAATTATCCATGCAAACTACACTTATGAGCTGACAAGCATTATTCACTGCCAATAAACTACAGAGAAACTAAGCTTATAAATTTTTAACAAATATACAGAAGTCAACCACTTAAGTACTTAGCATTTTCCTAAGTAAGCAGTGTTAGGAAAACATTTCCCAAGTAACAGAAATTTTCCTGTTACTTTGGAAAATGTGGTTTCCTAAGTAACACTGCATTACTTAGGGAAGTGATGAAGAGTCAAAAAGAAAATGAAGCTGGCTGCAACTTTATCTTCTCTATTTCTCTTATCAAGCCCTAGAAGGAAAGGCAGCCTAACCAAACATTTATGTAATATAGTACAGCAAAACAGAAGAGCTAATACCTTAATATGAAAAAAAAATGCAGGAATATTACATATCTGCAATAACACTTTGGATTTGCAACACACAGAAAGACCACTTTTTTGTCACGGGCATCTACAGCAGCAATCCATCTCACACTAAGACAGAAGCTTAACACTAATGAAAAAGGAAACCAGCATTTGTTGTTACTGATAAGTAACAAGTTATAAGTTTCTATGCTAGGGTTTTCTCTGGATAAAGGCAGTGGGGAAAGTGTCTCATCAAGAGGTGAGCCAGGACACATTGTTTATAACCTCAGATTTCAAATAAATAAAGATAAGGAGAGGTTAGACTATGAAAACACAGTGGAATTTTCAACTCACATTTCAACCAGTCATAGCTAACACAAGACTGTTTTCTGAGAAAAAAGTGCATTAATATGCTACTGCAAACCTCTGAGTGTGCAGTGTTGCCAACAATGCCCTTCAGGTTCTCAGAAATCCCATTATTAGTATCACCAGTTGTCTGTTACATATAAGTGGCAGCAAAGTTAAATTCATCCAAGGCATCTGCTAAGCTCATTACAGTCACTGCCTCATATCTCTCTAAAGCACAATACTCCAGAAAGATGCTTAAATTTCTACGGGAACTCATGGTTAGCCGTGCTTTAATACCTAATTGGATTCAAGTTTGGCTTAATTATTTATCAAAACCCTACACATTACCAGGGTTAGAGGAGTGTGTATCTCACTTAAGCAAATAGGCCTAAGCAAGAAGTGTATTATTTTGTCCTCATTTTGAGCAGAAAGTCAGTACTCCTCAGCCTTAAACTGTTCACAATCTACAGAAGCGTTTAGCAATTTGGCCTCCTCACACTATTTTCTTTTACACAATTTATAGCATGTACTATATATATATATATACACACACTTCTCTGTAACCTGTATTCAAGCAGTGGTAGTTCATGCACATACACTGATAAGAACAAACATATACACACTACCTCATTATTCCTGAGATGATTATGTATAGTGCCAATTCCCAGTTGGGCCTGGGTAGTGCTTCTGCACATGTTGCTAACATGTGATATGGAAGGGATGCATTCAAGACAAATATGAATTCAGAGCCTCCTGCAGTGATGAATTTTAATTCACGTATGACTCTGGAAGCAGTGAAATCAGGTGTAAACCTGAAAACAAAGTAAAGCATGTTTGAACTTTTCATATAAACAGCATGAAAGTTTGAGGTAATTTATATCATTCATAAATTAAAATAATAGAAAGAAAAAACCCAAACTTCACCAATTACTGCCATGCCTGGCAGCCCAGTCAAGCACTTATAACAAAGAACCCTAGTAGTCTGACTAATAATCATCCACGCAATTACCCTAAAAATAGTTATGAGTATCTTTCAAATACCTGAAGTATTGAAGATGTGTTTGACCAAGTGCATAACCACCTATGCTCAACATATCTGACACACCATATGAAGATATATTATAATCACTTGTCATATCTAGCTGTCAAGTAAGCACGACGCAGCGGCTTGTTCACTCCTCCCCAGTGAGGAGTGGGGGAGACAATCAGAGGAAAAAGGTTAAGAAATACTTGTGGGTTAAGATAAGAACAGATTACAGATTAATGATGGAAATAAAATAAAATACTAATACTATTGAATTGTAATGAAAAGGAAAACAACAAAAGCAAAACCCCAGAAAAACAAGTGATGCAATGGCTCACCACCGCCTGACTGATGCCCAGCCAGTTCCCAAGCAGCAATTGCATCCCTCAGGCAACTCCCTCAGCTTATATACTGAGCATGATGTTTTTTGGCCCCTTTGCATCAGCTGTCCTGGCCATGCTCCCTCCCAGCTTATGTACCTGCTCACTTGCAGAGCACGGGAAACTGAAAAATCCTTGACTTGGGATAAGCACTACTTAGCAACAACTAAAACATCAGTATCTTCTCAACATTATTCTTATACTAAATCCAAAACAGCACTGCACCAGCTACTCAGAAGAAAATAAACTCTGTCCCAGCCGTCTTTTTAGTTTCTGTTAAAAGAAAGCTATGAATGCAGTAAAAAATTAACAGCAGCTATAAGTAAGCAATGGAATCAACCATTATATGAGCTATAAAGTTTTTAAACACTTCACCTTTAAGTCACAACTGCATGCCTTTTCAAAGACCACCACCATGTTCCTGTCTCCCCACAAACTAAGATTGTTGCAGAAATGCTACTGAAGTTTCACTGCCTGCAATATCTCGCACGTCCTCTTGCGGAACAGAAGCATCTTCTGAACTTTTTAGATACCATATTCTGAATAGTTAAATTTAAATCCAAGAAGTGTTAAAAGATTAGGTTTTGGTGGAGATAATTTTTACAATAAAAATTGTCAGAATTAAACCACCATTATCAATAAGGCAACAGACAAAATATTCAAGACTAAAATACTGTGCATTATGATAATAACCCTTAGACTAAAGGCTTTTTTTCTACACACTGCAATGCACCAAAATCATACGTAAATCTAGATCTGATGTTCATTCACAACCCAAATGAAGGAAATGTAGAAAAAAACTATATAGTAACACCATTCTAACTCAGTTAGTTATACTTAACAGATAATAACAAAAGTAATACTGAAACTTTTATTTAAAAATCAGATAGTGTTTGCAAGGAGAGAGAAAAACTTAATCGTTTAAGTTGTATTAAAAAAAACCCTGAACACTCAAAGATTCAGTAAAAAACCTCAGAATTTAACCAAGAGTTTTCCTCTGAAACAGAATTAGGTATATTGAATTCCTAATGTAAGACTCCATTTAGATGTAAGAAAAAACACTTACAATATGACAATGTCTTTAGAGGCATTGGCACCTAGTGCAAACTCTTGACAGTTAACTACTTTAAATCCATATCCTTCACATGTATAGCCACTGATTTCCATAGTTTTCACATAAATCTGCAGCTGTCCTGTATTTTCCACTTTAAACGTTCTTCTCAGTGTGAAATTCGGTTCTTTGTATTTCATTTCTAGAAACAAAGAGCAGAAGGTAATTAGTGTTGTGCCAAACAGATATCCTTCACTATATTCATATTCTATGGCAGAAGAAAGTTCTGTCGTAGCAGGAAAGGTGACTAGTGAGGCCCATGGAAATCTTCACGTAACCTGCAGGAACAGATCTCCGCAGCCAGATTCTAATCACTGCCAAGGCAGGGCACTTGTACAGTTTCCCAGCCCTCTAACTCATCAGGGAAAAAACACCAACTCCCAAACCTCTGATATCACTGCTGCCTCACAAAAAATAATCTAAACTGTGACATTCTTTAATATAATGCTTAGTATTGTGGTATCCTGTGAAAAGTCCCAGAATGAGGAGAATTAGAATTTTTTTGTGTGTCTTAAAAATAAAAACCATGCCTGAGCTACACACCTTACTAGCAAAAAAAATTCCCTAAACCACAACATTAAAAAAAACTAAGCTTTACTTGAAGTTTCTTAATCCCTCAAAAAAAGCAGAATAATCTCAGATAATAATTAACATGACGCCTTACAAATATGTCTGTAAATCTGCAAAGTAATAAAACAGATTTTAATACCAGATAAAGCTAAACCTCTTTTACTAGTTCCTTTGGTAATACAGGTACTCTTAGCTCTCCTCCCAGAAGCAAGTCTGGGCCATAGAACAGAAAACCTCAGACCCCAGAACAGAATGTGTCTGGGATTTAATTTTCATTGAGGAACATACCCTGTCTTTTTGCATGGTGTCTATGTGTATACTGATTCTGAAGGTGTGAGGGAAAAAAAAAAAAAAAAAGCAAACCTCAAAACAGAAAGTTGCATCTGTGATCCAATTTGACTTAAATTTAGGAATTACAGATTTTCCTAGTAGATGTACTAGGATTGTCATGTCCTCTGTCTTGAATTTAGTGGGTAAAGAGCTTTTGATTATCTTTCCTAATTTTCACATTAAAATGAAAAAGGTATAATATTTAATTTTCTGCCAGAATGAAGAAGCAATTTTAATGTACATAAAGGAATTAAATTTCTGGGGCACTAGAACAAAGGAAAAAATATTTCCACACATTTCAACTTGTGCATGTAAAATATACTCACTTTCTGAGCAGTCTTTTAATAATGCTTCTGTGATTTTAAAGCGTAAAGAACTTCCTAGACCAGGAGGTTTGCCTGCAACCTTCAAGCTCTCAGTCGTTCCTTGGCCTTGTACCATTATGGCATCTATTACAGTCAAATTATTTCTGTGTACAAAAAAAGGGGGAAACATTCTTTAAAGGATTATGCAGTCTATTGCTTCTGCAAGCTTCTCTACAGACTATGAAGTTCTATCCCAAATCTGGATGACAGAAATATAAACAGTTCCACAAATAATTCCCCACAATATGGAAGTAAATACTGGGGGTCTCAAACATGGTATTTGCAAGATGAAAACCTGAGAAATCACAACACAGCTTACAAATAAAAACTCCAGTGAGGTGCTAGTTAAAGTTTATATTTCATCATCATATTAATGTATCATACCCGATACAAAACTGAAATAGTTATTCAGAGCTCTTTAGCAGAAAGATTGAGCTTGCATTGCAGCTTGATGTTGCAAATGGAATCTGTAATCCCTACTTTCAAGATAGTGTAGTACATATTTAAGAATTCAAGTCTCCCAGTATAACAATGGATTATATATTTATATTTGACCTTATATATAAATAAAAAAAATTAGAAAAACTCACACTCATTTCAGAAATATCTATCATACCTGATAACAATTAACGATGAAACAGTTTTATTAAGAACTGGAGTGAACTTTACTTTGACAGACTTTCTCTCACCAGGTTTTAATATTAGGCTTAAAACTGAATGACGAGCCAGGCCCTTTGTAAGTCCTATAGTACTCTGCAGCGGCTGGACCTTAAGAGAGTGGGGAAAACAAAGTAACACTTTTAAAAGTAGAAATTTTTTACATATATTTGACAGAAATTATATTATTTTATCTATAAAATTGGCCTTGTCATAAAGAAGTGTACTACCCAATGACATATACTGTTTTATTTTAACCAGAAACTCTGATAGCACAAGATTTGCCCTACTTATTAGTAAACAATCTGTGTTTAAGAAGCAGAACACAGCAAGACAGAACAGAGCTAAACTACACACATGTAGATTCATAAAGCTCTAGTAGAAGAAAGAGTTCAGAAATTTTTTAAATGTATATTTTAAATACCACATTAGCATTAAGCCGTTATGTAACATTTTCTACCTTCAAAATGTTCCATTGTTAAAACATTTTTAGAATATTGCTTTTCCTCAGTAAAGGAAAAAAGGGAAAAACTTAAAAACTTAAAATAGAAGAACTATTGAAGAAAGTGTATTTTGCCAAGTTTGCCTTTAGATACTGTACAAGCATCAAGTTGCTAATCTAAAACTAATTTCAAATGGAGGGGGAAAGGCATATATATTGGATAAAAAAAAAGAAGTGTTCAGGATGTGGCATGCTCTATATGAAAAAGCACATGAAGTTTTCCAGTGCTTTGTTCTTTATTTTAAATGATTTGAGTTTTGTGGACAATTCAACACTTTACTGATTTTAGAACTACCAAACATTATACCAAATAAAACAATCGTGTATCAGTAACAGAATGATTAAATGCAGTTCTCCTGTAACTTCCGGAATCCTGTTATAAGCATACCGAAAAAGTAACATTTTAACTGTTACATTTGAAGTAATACTACTTTTCCTAATTCCCTGAAAATAACCAACAGAAGCATCACATTTTTCACACACACTAATACCTAAACTTGAAGACATGTATGACTGAAATCTTATTAAAATATTGAAATTTAAAAATCTAAACAATGTACTGAAATACTTACAGAGTTTCTGAAGACCTGGAACTCCAGAGTCCTCAGATTGAAATTAGTTGGCTTACTCAAATTAAACCTGCAACAGGCATGCAATTATTTTTTCACAGATCAGGGAAGATAACAACATACTTGCACTTAAGGATTTTAACACAGATCAAGAACTGATGGTAGGACTAAAACAATATGCAGCTGAAAAGATCATTCAACTTTTCTTACTACCCCCCTTCATACTTCAAGTTAAGGAAGAAATGCAACCACCATTTTAGGTCAGCAAAAAATACAGATGTGCGTTCAATGGCACAGACTCGATTCAGTTCTCAACTGAGCTAATGATTCAAGTTCTGGAAGTGGCCAAAACTGTAACTGCCAACACAGCTGACAGATACTGCATGCATTTTTTTGTAAAATGCATTTTGTTGTAGAGTGACAATGGCCTAAGTACTCTAAAACAATACTTACCGTTCTAACAGTTTATCAGCAAAGGGGGATGGGTGAGAATACAGAGCCACAGGAAGGAACTGAACATACACAGGAACGTCAGCTGGATTTTCTAGAAAAATTTCTTCTTCCTGTTCAGAAACACAATTTTGGTAAAGTTTATGTTGGGGTTAATGTAATTGGAAACAGCTATTAAAAATGCAGTCCCTACAAAATGGTACTATCAGCAAAATAACTTACTGAGGAACTGTTTGTATTGGTAAGAGGGAAGCTTAGATGGCGTGGTGAACTAAGTATGGAAGGCCAGGCCATTTCTGCTGTAATTTTCAACCGGACATCCTTCTGAAGATCTGTGTCTACTTCAAATACAGCATTCAGTCTGGAGAAACAGTTATAGATCTTACTTTATAAAAGTAAAATCGGAAAATCCAACCGGACATCCTTCTGAAGATCTGTGTCTACTTCAAATACAGCATTCAGTCTGGAGAAACAGTTATATAGATCTTACTTTATAAAAGTAAAATTGGAAAATCCTGGAAAAAGCAGAGTGCCTAAAAGCACCCTTAAAATAACATTAGTTTGAGAAATAGCATGGTACATTATATTTATATACAATTGAAAAAGCCCATTGAGCTCTGCCCATATATACTGCTATGAAAAAACACAACAGAAACCACCAAAACATGCTATACGAGACCAACTCAAAGATTCTAAAGATGTTCTCTGTTTAAGTATTGTTGTTAAGATCCAAATATTCCAAGTTCTGTTATGGCCTATTTATGGATAAAGGTGAGCAGAAAATGTGGTAAGACTTAGGCGCTTCATCACAAATCTTTCAGTATTTGCATTTCTCTTAAAACACTGCTCTCTGGACAGTGAGACATAAATTCTATGTTTCATTAGGAAGTACCTAGCTCTTACTATTACAGAAACAAATTTTGAGAATATATCTGCGATTCAGATCAGCAAGAAAAATAAGCCAAGATATATTTGATGATTTGTAAAAGTACAAAAGGTAGAAAGGAAAAATATCAGTTCTGCTATAGTCTGTTTCCAATACAACATCCAGATATCCATTATCCAGAAAATGTACTATGCCTGCACCTCTGCAATGTACAGTAAATCTGTACAGGTACTCTAGCTGCAACGCATACGTGGAGTATATGCCTATACTCCTGTCTAACAAATCTAACACAAATCTGAACTAGTCACACTTGATGTCAGCCACTATTTCCATCAGCGAAGGAAGTTCTTTGCTATTAACCAACCTCTGCAACAGACTTGATTCCTGTTGTCCTACAAGCTCTCCACCACCAGCTAAAACAAGACTAACAGTATTGAGTTCTCCAGTCAGTGAAACAGATGAAATGCTAGGCTTCAAACCTAGAAAAGTATTTTGGAGAAACTCCAAATGCCCAAGTCAGAAACCCTCTGTATTCAGAAGGAGTTGTTTCTCCTTTGCTGAATGCTACCTTGGATAGCTGGTTAATTTGAACTCTCTTTAAAAGCATTACATATTGTAGATTATATACTGTATTCAGTATTAAAGCACCGTATATTCTAGCTATAACTGCTACTTATTCAGAATTAGTTTTTAATAGAATTTTCGTTTACTGTCCTCTTACTGTAGGTGATAGGACATTCTTGAAAGTTACCAGTGTGACTATATAGAGGATTCTGTTTAGATCAAATTTGTTCAGGAGTTATTAATATACCGGCATTATAACAAAAAAGTGATAAAGGAGGTATGCTTTTGTTACTCTGTTTAGCTACATATGTCATTTTTTTTTTCTGCAAATATGCACACCTTTTTTGAAATGGTAGTCTGGATGCTATCATCACAAAAGACACATGCACTTGCTGTTAATGCTAACATGTCTCTTGGAGATTAAATCACTTTATGTAGGAGAAGGCAGATGTCTGAAGGTATGTAGCAGCCTACAGAGTTTGACTTTTTCTAAAAATTAAATAGCAATCATTAATCACCTTCTATTTAGCAAATCTCATGGAGAAATATGAGACAATTTGATAATTCACTGAAATGCAATAATCTCAGAATAGTAGCAACAGAAAACCTTATAAAATTTTAGAGGGATATTGAGGTTACTACTTTAAAACAGATAAAGCAAGGATACTGCACAAATATTATAACCTGTTTTAGGAAATTCTTGCAGAGGAGAGACTGCCTTGCTGATCCCATCTTCTCAAGAACTGCAGCATGCTCCAGTGAATAGTAACTTTCAGCGCTGTGCTTAGCTTAAGGAAATTATTACTGCTTTTTAACCTTTAAAATGTTCTCTTTAAAGGTTTTGCAGAGATGGCCAAGTTACTCCTTCTTGGCCCCCTCTAAAAGAGCACTGCAATATTAAGAAATCCTGTATTTTATAAGAGCACACATAACACAGGATTATCCAGTGACTTAAGGCCTGAGAAAGCAACAGGGATAAAATACTTACCTATGGCTTGAGTTCTTTTTTATTTCCCTCCATTCTTTGAATAAGTTTTCATGCAAATCCCAGTCAGAATCCCAGGCATCTTCTTGCATTACTATGCTGTGCTGAACTTTAGATTCCGCTTTAAGAAATAACATGTTTTTTAAACTAATGTAAAATAATTGCTTAAGGAGAAAACTTTTTTTTTTTTAAAAAGATTTTCATGATAAAGTTTAAGTTACTTACATTTAGATAGAAAAGGCAATCCTACATAACAATGATCTCCACATTGTAAACCAGGATCAAAATAAATATTTGCAATCTGCAAAACAGATAAAAGTATATCAATTAATAAACTGCACAGTAAATTTAATGACCAAGGAAAAGAGAAAGAAGATTTCTGACAACCACAAAAACTTACCATAAGCTATATATAACAGAGAACTTGTAAACATATAGAAATAAGGCACAAACAAACCTTTGATTTTTTTCCTGGCTCTAAATCTTCTTTATTACTTCTTAGCCTCTTATAATAAAACCTGACATCTTCTGATAGGGAGCGTATGTGTTGTATTTTCACTTTCTGAGAAAAGGAGTTCATGATGTTCAGGCTCTGGTGAACTACTTTCCCCTAAAGAAAAGAAAGGATGAAAAAAGTCTGCAAGATATTAATTTTCCCAGCATATGTATTTATTTATGCAGGCTGGCAAAGACCACAGTAAAGCTGAAATGTTAAATTGAGATTTTTAACAATGCTATCTTAAAAAAATGCCACTTGTAACACTTCAAGGTAAATTTCTGTGAAGTTGTATTCTTTCCTCCACCTGCTTCCACAGTTCATCCCTCTTTCAAAAATAAGTACACCTTAAGTGTCTTGAAGAGCTAGGACAACAGTTCTGCTTAATCAAATCATGTTAAAAAAGTACCAGAAGAGGAAAGGCAAGAGAAAACTTCAGTTTTTTGAACCTCCTATTACAAAAGGGAAACAAGCTTCTTCTAAGATATCTAGTACACAGCTGCTAGTAATTAGAAATAACCTGTAAGAAACAGTAAAGCTGCATATTCCGAATACTACAGGTGACAGAAGGTATTTAAAAACATAGGTACAATCTTCCTTCCCATTCCCAATGAAATTAAGACACCAGGCACTAAAATTACACCATGTAAAAAGAAAACAGTGCAGGCTTTTTCCCCACACCTTTATACCCTGCCTCTTCTTCTGAGCCAAACTTTTTTTTTTTTTTTAACCTTTTAAGCACAGAACATGTAGTTTAATTGTTTGTCACAAACAGAATAATTAAAGTTCTCAAGTTCTCCCCTTGCCCTCACTCGTAACTCAATGATTCTGTGGCCGTGTTTTTCACCTTATCTCAAAACCCAACCCTGACAAGCACAGAGTAAACAAAACACACGCACACAGAAACACAACTCAGGAGCGGTGACAAGATTTCAGATTTATATAAAATAAATTAATAAAAGCAAATTTAAATACCCAATACTATCTTCTAATGAACATGACTAGAGTTTTTCATGCTCCCCGTAAATCAATATTTTCAGCTTTTTACAAATTTCTCTAAGGTAAGGACTGAAGTGGAACGATGGGAGAGATGCACTTTTGCAGGCTCAAAATTTGACTGTCGCCTCAGGAAATAGTCATATACTGTAACAGTCTCAATAGGAGCAACTGCAGAGGGAAAAAAACTAGAAGAATAGATCTCTAAACAGTATAGTCCTGAATAGGAGGTATGTCTGAGCTTCATCTATGGAAACCTATGAGTAATAAACTGTCATTAATTGGGCAAGATAAAGGTTTGTTAAACTCTGTAGAACAAATGAACAGTATTTTACTAAGACCATTATGCAGCATTTCAAAATGAAACAACAGTTAAGGGAAGATGACTTTACTCATCAGCAATAAGAAAAACAGAACAATACTATTTAGCATGCAGGCCTTCAGAGATGAGCTTTGATCAGGGAAGAGTTAAGAGGTGGCACTGTGAGCTAAAAATGCCATTATGAAGCAGAAGTCAACACAGCTGAGATCTGTTTAATTTGAGACACTGATCTTTAAAAGGCCTGTATACACTGTTAGTGCATTGCCAGCAAACTTCTCCAGAATACCAGAAATCAGACTTAGGTGCAAATACATTAAAATTATAAACAGAGACACACAGCACTAGGAACCCTGCAGCTGTAGAAGAATTACATCCTAGGTATGAACTGAAAAGCAAGTGCTACTAAAATTGTAGCACCTAGTTATTCCTGGATGTTATAGCTGTCAAATTTCTCTACCAAACACTGAAAAAAGAAGAACTAATGCTATTTTAGGCTTATTTTCAAAAGAAATGGAGGCATTACAGAACAACTAGATGCAGGAGTATCATGAATTCAGTGATCACAAGTTTAGTTTGAAATGAATCCAAGAAAAAGGAAAAGTCAGTCTGTTGTCAGTGATCTCAAATATCAAAAGAGCTAAGTGATCAACTAACAGAGGTAGTAGGTGAAGCTGACTGCTCTGAAAAGCTTGGGACTTGAACACAGAAAACAGTCTAGAATCTTGTCAAAGGCAATAATTATATCTGAATCCGTACTCCCCCAAAAAACACAGGATCCCAAAGGTCCCCTGAATGAATAATTATGTGAAAAAATTACTAGAAAGAACATGAAGCCAATAAAAATCACAGCAGTCTGGGGATGAGAAACAATGATGAGAGCAAGGAAGCTATGACTTTGAGGCTGAGAAACACAGGTGTTACAAGAAGTAGTACTGCCAGAACAAAACAAAAGCAAACAAACAAAGAAATATCAAGGTGACCAAGACCTTGGGCTTATAATAAGATACATCAAGAAGCTCTTTAGCCATAAAAAAATAAAATAAACAAAATAAAGAGAGATTTTTAAAATTACTTCTTTATGGCCCAAAACGGAACAAAATATTTTAATATGGCATTCAGGAGGGACAATGAGCTTGCCAGGAATTAGCATATATAAATTAGGATGCAGAATACAGAAATCACTTCATCTTTGATGAAAGAAAAGGAAATGGACCTTTAGTTATTTCAGTTTATCAAAGGCTTATGGAGCAGTTCACAGATGAAGTAACAGATACAGTAGTCAGCGTAATAAATATCCCTATAATGGTGAGGCCATACAGTCAAATAGGAAACAGATCCTAAAAATAAAAGATAACAAGTGATCTGTGCAACTGTAGGCATGACCGTTTGACCTCAAGAGTAGCAAAAGACTTCAGAACAATTTGTGAAGTAGGAGATCAGAAGGGAGATGGAATGGATAATGGGGCAAATGTAGCAATGATTTACTGAAAGTCCTGCTGACCGACCTATCTTCCTCCAATGAGATCTATTGCATTACATTTAAAAAAAAAATATAATTTGTCTACTAGGCATGAGGTAAAGCATTTGATAAAGTGCCAGTGAAAAATTGCTATTTAGGAATACAAAAATTGTAAGATAAGCAGGAGATACTAAGGAGCTATCAGAAAAGGAGTTGAGAACAGGCAGTGCTCTATGACAGATTAAGACTACGTAGGACAGACAAAGAAACAAAAAAACATTTCCACCAACATGTGTGGAGTTAATTTTATTCTTTTAGATGATTTCCATCTCTATCCCTTCTGCTACCTTTTTTCCCCAGTTTTCAATCTCCATCCCTATGATTTTCCATCATATTACATTCCCCACTCATCAGAAAGTCACATGAAGTTCGGACTTCAGTGAAATATCAATTGCAAAGTCAATATGCCTTGACTGCCCATGCTTCTATAGTTATGCTTCATGCCAAGTGAGAAGAAAGTATCATCGGTGCTCAAGTCTGTAGCCCTGAGCAAAGAAGCTGCTTTCAGCACTCACTGAATAAACACTACTGCAGGAGCAGGGATGAAAACAGCCATTACATACTTTTGCAGAGAGCTGTAGACCCACACAGTCTTCTTGCTTTTCTAGTCATGTACACCACCACGTACCCTTGAGAAGATCTACTTTCAGTGTGGAAACAATACAACGATGCTTCCACAAAGCTCAAGGACTTCTTACACTGAAACAACAGTTCATTAGATGACTTTCTTGTCTTTGGCATTATGCTTTAGGAATTTGAAAAATGCATTTGTGCAATTTCATCTCTCTTACTCTTGGTGCTAATGCACATGGATTGGTAATCACCATGAGTTAGAATGATGCTACAACGAATTAGGTTTGAGTTCATATCAGTATTCCAAGATCCCATTCAAGCGGGCAGTAGAGGAGATGTAAGGATAACTCATGCTTGGGGCATGCAGGTGGAAAAAAACCCCAAAATGGAGACAAACTGAATCATAACAATTTCTCCAGCAATTTGACATGCAACAATTCAACAGCAGTTTCTCTTAAAAAAGACAGACAAACAGAAGCCACAGCAAGAAAATTTTGCTACATCCCAATTCTCTTACTGGAAAAGAAGGTGGAAGAAAAACATGTTTTGGGGAGCAGGTCAGCGAGCCCACAGCAATCACTGCTTTCACTGGTATAGTTAAAATCTGGAAAAAAAAAGTATAAGAAAAGTTTAGAAAATTACTTAAATTTCAGCCTTTAAATGTCTCTTCCACTTTTAAATTGCACAGAATAACAAAACCCTGAAATTCTATAGTTAAAGAAGTCTAGGTTTATACACACATTTAAAACACGGAGACATGAATTAAGATTTCAACAAATCATCATATTCAGAACAGTCACTCTATATCGTCAGGAAGTACACCTTTGCTCAGTCATACTCAGCACCATTCCACATGGAACACAAAAGCTCAATTAAAATATAAGCTCTCTAATGGTGTTTTGTATAGGTCTTACTTGAACAGGGCTTACTTTGTTGGAAAACAGCAACATAACATCTTTAAAGTAAATGAGCATGAGGGAAGAGGATATACCAAGCTTCATGCTCATGAGGTTATGGTAAAACATCAAGATAGGTGTAGACTTAGAAAAAGTGCAGAAGAGATGGTAATGAGATCCTCTCTGTGTATTATTAAAGCCACCAATACAAGCAGACTAACTTGAAACTACAAGCAATAAAATAAAACACTTCAGATTCTGTAACTGAAGGGTCACATACATGTGTAGACACATTAAAAAGGTTTAAAATCTCAGATAACTGTCAGAAATTAGGAATTTCCCATTTTCTGTAGCTTCATCAGAACCACACAATAAGGTATATAATTTCCTGACTTCATAAGTACAGCATGTCCCTTTTCATTTCTGCGTGTATCACAGAAAGGTAACAAATACAGAACCCATTATGTATTAGAATCTCACTCTTCTGTGAAATCACTTATTAACAAGAAAGGCATATGATGTTAAGAATTAACTGGTTGTTCTTCTCTCCCTTACTAATCTAAGAACTCTGTAAGAATCATAGAGCACTAAGAACTCTGTTTCATCAACTGTCAGCACATTGCAATTTCTCTACATCAACTTTCACATAAGGTTTTGACAAAAAGAGCTCTGAAATTATAGCTCAATTTCAGTAACTGATAATGTACTAAAAAGCAAATCGTCAGAATGCGTTATGCCAAAGATCCATGCGTTGATGCTTCAAGGATGTGTCAAGGCATTGAAGAACCCATACCTCAAAGCATTAGGTCAGATTTAAATGGATATTTCTGAAAACCAGATGAAAATCATAATGAAAGTCGCTCTTCATTCCTTCAGAGAAGGAACAGCATAAGTAGCATTACTATTGTTTGACAGAGGGTTAACTTGCAGAGATAACTTGACCTCCAGAGGTCCCTTCCCACCTCAACTTCTCCCTTATATTGCTATCTGTCTACTAATAAAACTCTTAAAACTTCATGCTTAAAATTGAACATATCTGGGCAACACACATAAATATACAATAAGTATACCTCATAATCTGTCGTGATTTGTACAGCTCCATCATGAATTCCTTCAAGTTCTTTCGCTATTAGTTTTACTCTAAACACAGCATAATAACCTGATGCTAGTATGACCTGTAAACGGTAGAAACAGTCATCAGTCATATTCCATTAAATGGAAAGAAATTTCACTAAAAAAAATAATAACACCGTCTTATCGCTTTAAACTCAATCAAAATCCATTTGAAACAACTGTCAGAGGTAAAAAGAAAAATTCAAACACAGAAATTACTAAAGCAAAAATTATTCCCTCTCTGAGGTGATAAACTCCACCCTCCCCAAATAAATGATGAACATAATCAGGGTGTGGAGGTAACTGTTTCTGAAGTTTCCCCTTTCAAAATCTAACCAATCTGAACATAACACTGCTTCTTAAAATAAGATTTTAAAATTTTATATGCTTTATCATACCCAAATTCAGACAAAAATTAAGAATTCCTACCCTCCCGCCCCCCTGCTAAAATGAAACTGTAAGAAGTTGCATAGATTTGTCTCTTTTTTTCACCTCCTAAATCTAGCTTCAAGCAATGGATTCAAAGGATTACTTACTGAAGACTGATCGGATGCACTAGCATGTTGTAGCTCATGGTGGTTTGCAATTATTGTCGTTCTGTTTCCCTTTTCAGTTGTTAGAAGTTCTATGGCCAAACCATCCCCTATAATATGCCAACTTTTTATAGCCAGCTTAAAAAGAACAAAAAGGTACAGTTTTCAGTAACAATGCTGATATACATTTTTTAAAAGGCAAACTAAAAATAAATCCATCCTTACCTCTATGGGATTGCTGTTGATGACTGCAAATAAAATGCTGGTAGCTTCTGTTGCACTCAATATGCCAAAATCTATAAATTGTTCCTCAGTTTTTGGAGGCAGTACAAAGTACTAGAAAGATTGATAAAGGCATTTTACCATAAGTTAAATATCAAACATGCTCAAACTCTAATCTCATTAACAAATACATTAATAAGTCTAATACAGCAGTACCATTACAATGTCAAAATTCTATACATTTTCTATGCAAAACTAAAGGGAACAAAAAATAATTTTTCAGCCGTAACCAAAGCTGATTAAGGAAAGAACTGGGAAAACAATTTTAAAATTAAAAAGCCATCCTCTCATAGAAGTAGAAAAAAAGAGTTAAAAACACTCCTATGCACTCTGCCTTTAGTTAGACTAAAGTAGCTAAAAAAAAGGAAAATACTTACATCTAAAAATCCTGTGTATGCTCGGACAGGTAGGTGAAATTTAGAAGCATTGGTGATAAGTAAAATATTGTTATCTATATGAACAGTTGATGTGGAAGGCATAAAATGAAGTGTAAAAATATATCTGGATTCATTAGGTGGAATTAAGACTGGTTTGCTGAAGTTCTGGACCTAGATCAGTGAACAACAAGGATCAATGTTACAATTTATTGAAGTGCAGCACATTTAAACATTTACTATTATTTTAAAACATTCACTGAAATGGGGCTCACTTTAAACATTGGTTTTGCTTCTTCTGGTAACAGAACATCATGTATAAGGACTGCAAAGCTGAATGTGTTTGTCAGATAGATCGGTCTTTCCACGGAATCAGCAGCACTGTCACTGAGTGTGGCAGCATGATCAAATCCTAAATATCTATTCAAAGAAAACAGTATGAGAAAAATTAAGACTTTCCTGAAACATTAAGTGTTTTTCTTACGCAAAAGACTAGAATTCATTCAATCCAACAGCAAAAAAGATACATACCCCACCACATGCTGAAACAATATCATTAGCACTACAGGGGCATTGATAATTAAGTAATTCACACAAGATAAGAAAATACGTGAATCAGCATATTAGGAGGACTAAAAGGAAGTGTCGAAGTATTAAGACAGTTTGCAAATCACGCATATTCCTAATCAACCAAATCAGGAGTATACAGCACAAAAGTTCTGAGAGGTAACATTTAGTTTGGTTGCCTTTAAAATATTCTGTCAGTTCTGTTGATAAAGTAGCACCTCATTACAACAATAATAATAAAGTCAACTTAGCCACACTTTGTAAATATATAAAAAAAGTATAAGGAGGTACTGACAGTTCTTCCAAAATTTTGCTTAAAACAAAAAATATTTTCTCTACTATTACTTCATATAGTGACAGAACAGAAAATGCAAAACTGGAAAAAATTCCAGTACTGCATTTTTAAAATGTCTCATCTGCAGCCTTCAACTGAAAAATGACTCACTAAGGTCACTTTGAACCAAAGCCTTGAAACCAGCTTATGCATTACTACGACTAACTCATCTATGAGTATTAAAACAGAAAAGTTCAAACAAGTGATTGTAGTTCTAAATGAGCTCCATATTCAGAAAACTTCTGTATCACCTCTTTATACCCCCTCTCCCCCTGATAAATTCCCTGCTACACAGCTAATTTACAGCATTTAGTTTTTGAACTATGTTCAATTGCTGTAAGCTTACCCATCCAACACTTCTGCTTGATATGGTATTTCAAGTTTGGAGTAGCTCTTCTCTTTTGCTTTAACAGTTATTTTCCCAGAAGACTGTGATGCTTTTTTTGCTTTTGATGCTGTACACACAAGAATATAAGAAGTTTGTCAAAGCAGACAAAAAAAAAAAAAGATCCATTAGGTTAGACTACCATGACTGGAAGAATAAAAGCACAGAGCTAGCCCAGAGATGAAGTATCACAGAAAAGAATAATGGATCTTAAGGAAATTTCAATAAGCAACCAACGTGGAATAGGTTTAGGAAGTAAGAGATCCAAGCTCTGAATTCCACCCCCTCCCCCCCACCCCATAACACCAGTTACCTGACTTGCCTGAGTTAGTAAGCTTATCTACAACAGGGAAGCCTGGTTGTGCCTGTCAAATAAATAACTTGGATGTGTCCAGAGGATAATTCAGATCCCAGGTGAGCTAAAAACCCCACTTAAAGAGTATGTACTACACCTATCCCTCCACTAATAGACCAGAAACTTGAGATGGCTGGGCTCCTCACTTAGAACTACCAGTTGAGCAGGACTTTGGGCCAGGAACACAGCAAAATTTCAATATTGAAGGAAACAAAGACATGCTAAACTTTACAGAAATACAAACAGAATCCATGTAAGAACCCAAACAACACAAGCCTTAAGAACAAATCTCACAGGCCTTCTCCAAGGTCACGGAACAAGCAAGTTATCCTGACAGAAAAGTCAAGGGATTCAAATACTAGTTAGGAGAAACCACCAGCCTCTAAAGCCCCTGCACGCATTAAGGGACCTGCAACAGCAAATACTTAGGGCTGGCTGCTTCACTGAAAAGAATTCACCAAGTCAAACCCTTTTCACCAACTACCATTCCTTTCAAGATCTACCATATATTACTCAGTAGGTCCTCATATAACAATTCCCTCCAGAGTCAAAATCTGAACAACCAGATTGACAGAGTTCAACTATTTCAGAGTGTATTTATAGGCTAAAACATCCTTCACTCATTTTACAAACTGTATGCTATTAAAAAAATCTAAAGTGCTAATCAATAAATAACAATAAAAACCAAACCTCTCCTCTTTATCCATACAACTTCTAAAATTATGTCTACTAGAAAAGAAAAACATTGCACCTATAAACTTCAATTTCTAAGCAACCCCAGCAGAGAGACTTACAGTGCCAACTGGTATCTTAAAGCAGTAACATCCGAGTAGGTCAACAGTATTTTAACTGTTGATTAAAATCTCTATAAAAATGGAGGTGCCTTTCCACAAAATATCAGCATAATATTTACAGTCACACTATGTAGGAAGGAATGACCCACCACTTCTTGCACCAAGACATATGAAAGTCAATATCAGCATACATAACATGTCTCTGTAGGAAAGATACCAGTAAAAGGTTTTTCCACCTCCTTTTTTCTTTAATATGAATTCAAGATAGAAAAAAAAAAGCCAGCTTTCACAGTACGGTTCTCAAGAGCACGACAGAGCCCTATTTCCATGGGCATTCCAACATAAAATGTATTTTTTTTAGAAACAAGATTTTGGATTCTTTTTTAAACTTTGGAAGGATCAAAGAGCAATCCAAGGGATATACTGCCCTCTAATACATATTCCTGTGAGGAATGTGTCCTGGTTTGTTAGAATTTCTCAAAAACAAATGCCTGTTTAGACTAATAATACATTTTAAATAATCTGTGTCTTAACATAAGAATACTGCTTATTTTTAATAGAAATCTGATGTTCAATTTTTATATACACACATAGAAGACTGCTTAAGAATTCCTTCTCTTCTCAGCAGTATTTACCAGTCTAAGTTACTTGCTGATTATGATCAGAGACGATCCCTTCAGAAATAACTTGTTAGAAGAACTGTATGCCTTTTCCTGGTAGGAAAATTACATTTCCTTCTCAAAATTACAAATCACATTTTGTTAAGAGAGTGGAAAATAATGAAGTTTCAGCAAGTTTAAGAAGCACTTGGCAAGTTCTAAGAGGAGAGGAGTGGTACTTACCATCAAAGCTAATACTTGCAACTTTGGTATATTTACTTTCAGAGGCTTTTAACGTAACTGGCTTGAAATGTACTGTTATAGCTTCGTTTTGTGGTGTAGGTCTAACACTCTGCAAACAACCAAAATATGAAGCACCTGTAAATTTATCTTGTTAACACACTGTGCAGCCTTCACATATCCTCCAAAGTGATACAACAGCAACTAGTTTTGTCTGAGTTCTTACAGGTCTGTCTTTCCTATAACAAAGCAGCATTATAAAAAGCTTTAGGATTTTTTTCATGTCCTGTAAATTACTGAGTCAGTATGCAGAAAAGTGGGTAACAGAGAGCTCTCCTGGGGAATGCTGGATGAAGTGACGGTAAGGACAGAAACATGTTAATAAAAAAGAAAAGCTTTATTTACATAAAGATTTATTACTTATTTTTAATGCTGCAGGGTTTCAATAGCTAGACTATTTGTTTCTGGTGAACTCATTAACAAAGCTGTTAACTAACGTGTGTAATTACTGGTGATGATACAGACATCTACCTTGTCTCTGATCCCATGCTAAGTCTGCAGAGCTGCCACACAAAAAAAACCCAAAACTGCATAGAGAACAGTTTTGTAAATCTGAGATGACACTCATTCTATACCATTATTTTACCATATCACCTTTTATTTCTGAGGATTACTGTTTTAAACTAAATGGAAAAGGTGAATTGGGCATTACTGAAATAGCAATTGTGTCAGTTATTAGCAAGTGATGATTTGTATAGACACTTACAGCTATGCAACAGGATTATGGATTCCATGTCAATATCTGAAGACTCTATAAAGTTTGCTAGCAAACTCTTTATCTAGAGTTCATGGAGAGAAACTGGGCATGGAGCATTTAAATGTTCTTATTCTTGTTTTGCTTAAAATTGGGATGGCTGCCATGATTCGTCCTTCCCAGCTGTATTCTCCTTCTATAAGAACAGCTCAGCTGTTCATGTAGCAGCTGTTAAACTACTGCAAATTACAGGATGCCGTATTAAGGAAACTGAAGTGAGTGCTGGTTTACCTTATGCTGGGTTGCAGAGGTTTAGCACCTGCTACATAAGCAGCTGAGCCTTTCTTGGTCAGAGCGGAGCAAGGCAGACAGTGGCACAAACCAATTACAGTTCTTCCAAGCTAAGTTGTGCTTAATTCTAAATTAAAGCCATAAAATCAGGCATACATTAGCAGGCCACATGATCCTTAGAGGAAACAAGCAGCACTGCTCCTGCACCTGATGAATAATCTCTGTTAATTTAACGATAAGTTTTGTATTTTGGATTTATAGTACTGACCTTTGTCAACCATCTGCATATCCATGGTGCAGATGTTTGCTATTTCTCTTCATGAGTCAATTCATAATTATCACAATTTTTTTTTAATGAAATCCATATTACAAAACTGAGATCTTGAGAAGTCTTTAAAAAAAAAAACCTCAAAGCAGCCAAAGCCAAAGCTGTAATAAAGTTCATAGCTTTTACATGGCAGGAAAGACAACCATTTCTACTAACTCTTTTCATGCAAAATGCTGGGGGTTTAATTATTGAAATTATGCTGATTTCATCAGTAAATCAAATCAGAAATATTCAAAAGGACAGCCTGTTGCCAAAAAGATGGCAGATTTCAGAGGTGCATCTCTTAAACCACAAGTGTAACAAACCTAGATGTATTTACTCAAAACGTTTACAGCTAATGAATTTAGTTAAGGAAAGAATTTAGCAATGTTTTGTTGAAAATTTCTTAACTACATCACGCACATTTCTCATTTGTTGCTTGATTACATGCTATAGAAGGAAATACAGAATTAAGACACCTAAAGGAAAAATAAAGATCCTTAAGAATCCTTTCAACTTCCCTTTCCTCAAATTTTAACCTATTTCAGACAAAGCCCAAGCAAAACTTGTCCTGAGACGTACCTTAAGAATCATCGAATATGGACAGGTCATGAGAAAACATGCAAAATAAGTTCCATCAAGAATCTAATACCACAATTTTTTCTCAGAAAATGTCCTCACAGCAACTTCTGTGGTAAGAATTTAAAATAGACATGCTGCATTAACACGTGGCTCTCTCATGGAGTGCCCCAGTCAATATTTCTGACCCTGTGTGCTGGTTTTTGCTGGGGGATAGAGCTAATTTTCTTCATAGCAGCTAGTATAGGGCTAATGGAGCTGTGTCTCGGATTTGTGCTGAAAACTGTTTTGATAACAGAGGGATGTTTTAGTTACTGCTGAGCAGTGCTTACACAGAGTCAAGGCCTTTTCTGCATCTCACACCAGAGCAGGCTGGGGGTGTACAAGAAGTTGGGAGGGGACATAGCTGGGACAGCTGACCAAAGGGATATTTCATACCATATAATGTCATGCTCAGCACATAAAGCTGGGGGAAGAAGAAGGAAGGGAGGAGATGTTCAGAGGTATGGTGTTTGTCTTCCCAAGTAACCATTATGTGTGATGGAGCCCTGCTTTCCTGGAGATGGCTGAACACCTGCCTGCCCATGGGAACTAGTGAATGAATTCCTTGTTTTGCTTTGCTTGCACCTGCATCTTCTGCTTTACTTATTGAACTGTCTTTATCTCAAATCACCAGTTTTCTCGCTTTTACTCTTCTGATTGTCTCCCCCATTCCACTGGGGGAGAGTGAGCGAGTGATTGGGTGGTGCTTGGTTGATGGCTGGGTTTAAACAATGACAAGCTGCTCTATGAAGGTCCATTCAATATTTAGCAAAAGTGCAGAGGCATAAGAGCAGAAAATGACGACATTAAATGTTCTAGAGAACACAGAGCAGGGGAAAAAGCTTTATGCCATTGCAGCCATTATTGAGAACGACTTCAAAGGTTTAAGAACTCTCAGGCTATACCTATTCTAATAAACTAGAGGAGAAGAGTATCAGTTGAACTCTGGCACGCGTTCATTCATTCTGTTTATCTGTCAGCAAACTCTCAAGCATAGTTTTGTTTTGTCCACCTAGCATATTGCTCAAAAGACTGAGCAGGCTGTAGAGTTTTCTTACAGAGAGTAAAGACACAGCTACCCTGCTGCAAGAGGAAAAAAGCCCCGTGGCTACAGGCAGCAGACTAAGGTTGGTTCAGTTAGTATAAGAATCACCTCTGTACTGTTTTATTCACGTATATAGGCACAATTATTTTGTCAGTAATAACTTGGCCTTCACTTTAAATAGGGACATAGCTAACTGAACTTTCACCATAAAGCACTATCCAGAACAGCCATGGAATAAACTATTACTACATTGTAACCCTGTAAGGTAACTTTCCCTTGATAACTTTGAGATACATACACTTAAATGTGCAGACTGAAAACATAGCTCAGAAGTAAACCACTTTTCATAGGTTGATAAGAGAAGAAACAACTACTCTGAAGTATATGAATTGTGACAGAAGTAAATACTTCCTTACACAAAGACTGATTTTCAAACTGATAGAACTCAGCTTCAGTATATGGCTGTCCTGAAGTTCCTGGTTCTTATGCATCAAACATGATCAGGAGAACAAAGTTTAAAGTGTGTCTTTGCTTTTAGCTATCAAATGGGCTTAAACTGCCTTAAGGAAACATAAAATTTCATCCTAAAGAAAAAAGAAAGTGTTCAACAATCTACATTAACTAGGTTTTTGACAGCATGGCTTAATTGTTGCAGCATGACAACAGTTCACCGAATCACAAAATAAACACGGTTCTACCTCATAATGGAGAAAACCCTACAAAATGTAATTAAGGAAGTTTTTATAAAGGGTTTTAGAAGTCAAAAAAGTCAAGTCACTCACTCTTATTTTCCTCAACCAATTTGTTGGACCACAGCATGACTAAGTACTTAGAGGCAGAACAGCTACAACTCTGGCAACAGCATTAGCGGACACTCATACACAGATGACCTGAAGATATTTAGCTCCTCCAGCACCCAGCTTAAATATATGCTAAATATAGCCTTGGCCTTTTCTTCTGACATTAAGATGAAATTTGTCACAGACCTCTGTCTCATTGATTTTAAACCCTAGCTCTAAAGGGTCAGAAATCCATTTCTTAAGCTTTCCTAGAAGTAAGCTATTCACCAGGTTCCTTCCAAAAGTTGTTTACCACTTTGAAATTCCTTGATTGGAACAGCAGCAGAAATTCACACAGTGCTTCAAATGCTAGAAAGATTACAAACTTCACAACAAAGCTGTGCCTTAATGAGAAGAACAATTGAGTTGATGTGCCATCTGTGACACACGTTGAAAAATACATCATATCTGGACCTATACGGTAACTTTATCATTGCAAAAGTGAGTCCTAAAAGCTTTGAGACCATCAAATTTACTGCTTTGATAAACTGTAAAAGAATAATTCATCTGGAAAAGTTCTGCCATGACTTGTATAATGGTTATCAAATGATAGTCTTCCAGCAGACCACTGTCTATGGTCTACAGTCTATGGCCCAAAGACCATACCTTGAAAAAAAATTGTTAGGGCTTTGGTAATGGAGGAATATGAATCAGATATTATGTTATCAGATATTAGAAGTGATACTGATGGCTTGAATATATGGTTATTTGCATTGTACTTAGGAAGTATAATACACACTTTAAAAAAAAATAACACAAAAAACAGTCCCTCTGACAAAAACCTGGCAAATCTAAGATGGACATGATATAAGACAGCAGACATAGCTGGAAAAATAATTTAATAAATGTAATTATAAAATCATATCAAATCTGATTGTAAAAATCATATACAGGTCTTTTAAATAGAAACCCTCAAGGGAAGCTGGTTCAGAGCTTACAAGGCCATGAGAGACCTTATAAGATCATCTGACCTCATTAATGCAATAAGCATTAGGACTTCGATGAATTAAAATGCTGTTTCCAGTATACTGCAAGTTTCTCTCAACTTGAAAATTATTAGTGAACAAGAACTTAGCAAGCATTGCAACGGATTATTATCACAGTGGAAAGTTATCCTAGTTACTAAAAATGTGTCCTGTTTCTAGTCTAAATTCACCTAGCCTCAGCTTCCAGTATCTAACAAGTTTTTGTTAGACCTCTACTACCAAAATACTATTCCCAACAGTTACAGCTACAAGCTTTAAAAACATAAAAAAGCTCTCCAAGAGCTCAGTAAAAAACCTTTGCCTAGCCTTCAGTCATTCTGGCTCCTCTGGTTTCTTTTCAACACTTTTTGAAGTGCACTGAGACAAGGTATAACTCAATCTGGAAAACAAGGAAGATGGAAGGGGAGAAGGAAGAAGTGATAAAAATAGTGGGCCTTGAGAAAAATTACACAGGAGAAAGGTATGAATGAACGAAGGCAGACGACCAGGCTAGAGACAAAACTCTGTAATAAAAATAGAAAGCACAAAATCCAAAACGTAGAATTCTGAAGCTGGCTGCACTTTACGTGCAGCTGCAATGATCTCACTGGAAAGGGCTCCACAGTGTTCGCAGGCTTTTTTCTTATTTCAAGCTACAAATCAGATAACCTCAAGAAAACAAGGGTCATTTTAGTATCTGCTTTTGAAAGCTATTCTTTGCTCATCTTAAGAGATTATGTTGGACAACCACTTTATACACTCTTACAGAGTCTGTGATGAGGACAAAGAATCCCACAGATTCTGCATTAATCTCTCATTCACTGAATGGGAGTTACTGTTCTCAATTACAAAAGCTTCCAAAGGCTCAGATATTGCAGGCATAGCCTATAAATGCTGAAACAGCTGTTCAAAGAAGGCTATGAAGGAAATTAATTTTACCATGCATATGGACTACTTGTCTTACTATTAAGTTATGCTTTCAGTTGCACATCACCTAGCTTCTAATTGTGAACACATGGTGAACCTGTGAATGATCAATTTTTATGAGAGAGAGTAAATCCAAGTAGAAAGTTACAAATTGAAAGGAAATAAAACTTACTGTAATTGGCACATCTTTTGTTCCTGAATTTAATAAATGCAGATTTAAAATTTTTGGCAGATCTGTTAAAGAACAAAAAACACACCTGGCTATTAGGCTATTTTAACATAAAAACCTAATAAAAAGTCATCTGAACTACCTAGTTTCTCATATAAACGTGCTGTTGTTCAGTGTTAAAAAAAGTTAGACTAACATGTACAGCCAGTCAAAATAGCTAGTCCCAAGAATCTGACAAACTTAAAAACTGCATTTTTGTGTATTAGTATTAGGTACTACATGCTTCAGCCAACCATTTGTATTTCTAACACATTAAGTAATGAACAGGCTAAAAATACTACAATGAATGATTCTGCCAGATGCACCAATATTCAGCAGAAACTAATCTTATTTAAAAATCTACATGTTAACTAAGTTGCAAGGAAAAGTACTTCAGAAGCCACCTATTAAGCTGATACATATTGTTTTTCTTCAGTAATGAGTCCTTTTTACAGTTTCAAAAGATACCTTCAGTTTTACTACTTTCTGTCACACATATGTTATTATTTTCTATTACACTGAACAGAATTTAAATGTAAAACGTTAGACACAAATGTCTAAGTGGCACTTCAAGAGCATATTATAAGTAACAAATTTGTTTAAGTTTGCACACTTCCCTGTCTCTGAAAATTATTAGAACTTATGCAGATGTAAAGCAGTCTTTCAAAACAAGTTTGCAAAACAAGTAAACTGACAATGGTTTTCAGAATAAGCGCAACTGTGTAAGACTAATGTTATTACTAGACTTATAACTGGATATGCAAACTACTGTTTGCTTGTACATGTCAAGTATACTTGCAGTTGAATACATCGTGCACTGTTGTAACACATTGTTATCCTGCTTTTGAAATTATGGCTTTTAAAAAGCATCATTCCATAAGCAACCCTGAATAGTACACAGATAACTGGGTCTTCCCTTACCCACCCTACTCCTTATAAATACTTCAAGGCCTGAAGTATAGTTTACCTTGTGTTCGTAGTGTACCAAAATCTAGCATTTCTGTTGATGAATATATTCCTGGTGCTTTAAGAAAAATAAAAAGAAAAGTTACCATTTTCTTATTAAACTAAAAGTTATTTAAGCTGAATAACTCCACCCGCCCCCCACCCCTCCAGCCCAACCACTTTTCTACAAACCTGTTGTAACTTCTACTTCAACAGGGAGAATGATAAATTCTGTGCTGTCTGAGGCATTTGTTTTTATTCTAATGAAGGCTGTATGATTATCTGCTTCTCTTGAGGAAAAGCTGGCTCTCATCACTCCTTTTGTTTCATAGGGAGGTATTTCCTGATAAATAATCAAAGCACATCTATGAGAGTGCAGTAATTACAAAAAAAGCTGCTACACCAAAAAATTACAAAAGCAGCATTGAGTATAATTGCATAAAGAGAAAAAGCTGCAACGGCAGTAAGAGGCTGCATATTAATAAAATTACCATTAAATTTAGTAAGGATAGTGGTAATCATCTAATATGACGTTGATTAAAAATAGGTATATGCAAGAGGACTTTCATGTCCCACTAGATTAAGTTTTATGCATTAAAATACTGGTAAAAAGAGAGTAGACTAAATTGATAGAATCTACCAATAAACAAAATGTATTGACAATGTTTGATGTTACTGCACTCAGGTTTTTTTTTTTTTCATATTCTAATTGTTTATTCTCCAAAGCAGACACAAGGCACACAGTTTCAGTGCTGTAGAAACAGATGTCAAACCCACAAATTAAAACAGTGTGGAACTGCAAGTAGCCAGAAGCTTGTAGAGCTGCAGGTTTATTAGTCACCAAGCAATTTACAGCAAAAAGTTGAAATGTGCTTTAGTTTCTGTACCAAGCCTATTCCATCAGTTCCAATCTGCATTCAGGGTTTGAAAGACAACTCTTTCTGTATTTGCTGGACACAGCTGCAGCACAAGACTAGCTTCAGAACCACAGTTAAAATACTAACATCACATATTCTTCCCCACCACATTACAGAAGGGTTGGGGAACTGGATTTTTCTTCTTTTTCTTTTTTTTTTAATAGAAGATGAAAGCCTTGATTTGAAATTTGGAGTTTCCCCACTTTAAATGCAAATAAAGATGTCAGAAAGTGGGAATTTTTGATGAGTAGTCCTTGCATCGACTGATGGTGTTTCAGTTGACAGCTTCTTTCTTTTGTGTTTTTGATGAAGGAAACTGGACAGGACATAATCCATATAGGTGCTGATTGTCTTAGATACCTCTTCTGTGCTTTCAGTAGTACAAACTCATACCGATCCATTGTGGAGGTCAAGCCACATTTTCCATGGCACAATAACTGTACATGTATTCTTTGAAAACTGTTGAATATCAAAGTAACTAGTTTCAAACTGCTACTACTTGGTAAGTCTCTAAACTAAAAAGCTTTCAAGTTCACGTTTTGCTCTTATTCACAGATGTAACGTAATGCAGCCATCCACTAATGTTTCAAAGCGTGTGATTTGACTCTTCCCTACATGTAACCAGGGATCCCCAAAGTAACTTTGAACAGTGATTACAAAAGTACTCCTGCATATGCAGACTGCTTCATCCAATCATCCAAACATTTGTCATCAAAACAATTTTAGACAATGATGCACATCCGTAGGTCAAAGTATCATTATCATATTTCAGATGACTTCTGCTTCGCAGCTTTTTCTTACTGCAGTGCAGCTCTTGACATAGCCAATACAATGATACATCTGAGTGTTTCCTCCTACAGGCTTAATTTCTTCTAGTTGCCATATTGTTTTGAAATACCAATGGTTGATGTGAAAAGCAAGAGGATTAGTGCTGACTGGTATTAACCTAACTGCCTTTCCATGCAATACACTAGAAGCTTTCACATGCATGTCATTGTTGCTTTAACTGGCAACATGGCCTAGAGAAGCTGAAAAGCTACATGCTCAGAACTAGAAATAAACTAGACATTTAAAAATCTTCTTCTCTTTTGTTTGTGGCTCTGACATGTTTGTTACACATCTACTAATGGCTACAGAATTCAACATTCTCCTTGAGTTCTTCTGACAACAAGGAAGGAGCTATCTTTAGAAGCAATGCCATTTGACTAAAATGGTGTCAAAACATTAGGACCTTCATTTTTAAAAATCCCTTTTAATATTTACATATAACTCTCAGCACCTGGTTACTCTTTCCACTGCATTTTTAAAAAACACTTGTGATCTGTATTCGTACTCATTTGTTTGCAACTTTTGTATCTAAAACTAAGACACTGCCATTCTCATGGATTTTCTCCAGAAAAGACAGAAATTAAGTTTTGTGATCATCCTTCTTAGCTCACTTGGAAAAATCCTGGCTTTACTCATTACAACAGATGTAATTGTCAGTGACTGTAACGACATGACTGAGCAAGAGACAAGTTTTGGAGCCCTATGACTTTAAAGTCTCTCCCAGACCAAAAAAAAAAAAAAAAGAAAATTCTAATTAAAGAGGAAAACAGATTTTGTATGTACTTGGACAGCAACAACAGTGTGGTAATGGAGCATAGAGCCGATACTTTACCTTCAGGATGCTTCTAATATTATTTCACTTAAAGATATCAAAATGTGCTACTTCAAAACTACATTAAGTGAAGAATACCACAAAACAGATTTAATAGGCCAGACCACGAGTCCATCCAACCCACTACCCAGCAGACAGGAAGAGTAAAGAATAACTGCAGGGTATGCATGTAGGAATGTTTTCCAGCTGCCACTCTCAACTCATGATCTAGGGATCTGTTGCAGCTAGACACACTGCTGTTTTATTTAGTAGTCCTCAACAGATTATTCTTCCTTAAGTTCATTCAGCTGCTTTTTCAACCCATGTATACATTCATAGTGATTTGCAGGAAGGACTATCTCCATTTAAAAAACAAAAACAAAACCCCATATATTTTTCCTTTGGTTTAGATTCAGCTCACAGACCAGAAAAACTACATTGTCCTGAATGCTCAGGTAGGTGCAATTCATTCTACTGGGAATCATCTTGCACCTCTCACTTCAAAAAAGCACTGCTCAATACAGATGACTTCTTTTAATTAAATCTTTCCTTCAATTCCCATTACCATACAATTAAAAGGCTCTGTTATGGTTTCAGTTTTTATGGAGTATTTTTAATGATTACATAACAATAAACAAAAGGTGGCAAAAAAACCCCCAAAACCCTAAAATCATATCAAAATAAAACCTCCCCAAACAAGCAGAATGAATGCTGCAAGACATGACTACTCACCCATAGCTTCCTTGTACCTCCTTGCTGACCTGTTGGAAGCTCTAAATGAAGATCACCTCCACTAGAATACATTTCTACCACCTGAGGCAGATAACATGAAAGTGTTAGCACTCAGGTGTAAAGGGATCCTGGTTTACTTATCAGATATTATAGTGTGCAACATCATGGGTTAGCAACTATTTGACCATTGGAGTATCCCGTAAATTCACTTTCAATGATGATATAGCCATTTGCTAGTGCTACACTTCATGTGCTTTCTGTAGCATTTCAGTTTGTGGATTATTTACTTAACAGAATAAAATAATGTTTATCAGTGGACTATTAATTTACTTGCTTGGTCAGGTACAGACATCAATCCTGCCTTAAAATAAGAATACTTGCCAACGTCACATACCAGGGTACACTAAAGACACCTTGTGCTGCACAAAACAAGCAGAAGGAAGCTAAAAGGCATGCCTGGATTAAAAGCACAAGATCTGTTTTATTTTGTTTGCTTCAATAATTTTTCTTAATTACCAGTGAAGTTTGATTCTTTATTTTGCAGTACTTATGACCATTTCAAAAATCGAAATTTCACAGTAAAGCCTCAATCTAGCAAATTAAGAGAACTGTGAGCATAATCTACAATTTCTAGAATAACTGATCTGCATTTAAACAGAAAAACATTTAGATAATGTGAAAGACTTGGCCTCAAATAGCTTTAAAGTTCAAATAGAATTTTAAGAAGTAACAAAATAAACAAGAATTCAGTTTAACATCGTAAACATATGATATTATGCTTTTCTCTTAGGCTCACCTGCAAAGGTTCACTGTGAGGGTTATGTATATTTATTATAGGAGAAAAACTGCTATTTACAGGAACTCGTGCCCCAATAAATGGGCGCAATCGATAGGGGTTTGGTACTCCAATGCCAAACACCTGTTTCAGAAAAAGAAAAACAAGCTTAGGTAACTGTAGGTAATTGTTGCAGAGCCTAACATATGTGCCAATTTTAGTAATCTACCAAATACCCTTTTCAATTAATTTTTATAGTATACTTCTAACTGAACATTTAAAACCAGTATCATGCTAAAACACTGAAACAAAGAAACTGGTTTAGTTTGTAGCTAATGAGTATTTCTCATAGCTACTTCTTACTTTGACATATTTAGAAAACAGGAAGTAATAATACCATCTTTTTTTCTTATACTCTGAAACACTAGATACCAGGTAAAGGTTAAAAAGATGTGAAATATCCTTTATTCGTACCATTATGGAATAGGTTATCCATATAGGAAGCGTTTTTGTTGTTGTTTTCAAAACATTGCCATAGTAAGAGTCATATGCTTTCAACAAGAGGATTTCTCTCACTTTTCAGACTCTCTCATTTGTATGGTTTATCTTTCTGAAACTCTTGACAGCTTAATGAATAACATTGTCTTGTCACTGGATCAGATAAATACAGAGCTAAAGAATGAGCTAGATCATTGCAACAAGCCACAAAAATAACACACACTAAAAACTTGTTGGGACGATTTAAAACCCTACATAATTTCATTGATCTGGCTTACAGTACTGCCCTACAGATATTTACAATGGTATGCCACCTCTGTGTTACAACAAGCAGCAGGGATGGAAACTTCTTCAACTGGGCTGATTAAAAAAAAAAAAACCACCATTGTGCAAATATCCTCAGACATTAACGCATGCCGTAATAGATACTGCTCTGGTTGATTCACACTTCACAACTTTTTCCGAAAGGCTGTTCGCCATTTAATTCTCTTACCTGATACGTAAATACCCCATGATTAGATGTATTAATAAATAAAGTGTTCTCTACATTTCCCACTACTCTTGCGAGGAAAACTACATCAAAGGACGTATTCCCTCCTGGAAGAATTTTCTGGAAAAAATAAAAGCAAGCAGGCAGAAGAAGGATAAGCAAAACTCTTTATTAAAGACATTCTGGCCCTGCAGACAAAACTGAAACTAGAGGACTATATCTGACAGTAATGTGGTTAAGAGTTAACTCTGCTGACACCATGCTTTTTAACCTGCAAGTTCCTGTAACTTGACTGCTGTAGTTATAAGTGCATTGGAGTGACTGTTTCACACTAAAACCAGTTCACTAGACACAAAACTTTCAGAAAAATTATAAAACAGCTTGTTGTTGTATGTGCTCTAAAGCAATGTACACTTAATAGTGACTTCAGCAACAAAGGAGATCTGCTGTTAAACTGTTAGTTACAGTATACACTTCCAACATAGAATCATAGAATCATTAAGGTTGGAAAAACACCTCAAGGATCATCAACTCCAACCTAACACCACCTAGCCCACTAAACCATGTCCCTGAGCACCACATCTACACGTTCCTTGAACACCTCCAGGGATGGTGACTCCACCACTTCCCTGAGCAGCCTGTTCCAAAGCCTGATCACTCTTTCCGTGAAGAAATTTTTTCTAATATCCAGCCTAAACCTCCCCTGGCACAACTTGAGGCCGTTTCCTCTTGTCCTATCACTTGTTACTTTAGAGAAGAGGCCAGCACCCACCTCACTACAACCTCCTTTCAGGTACTTGTAGAGAGTGATAAAGTCTCCTCTCAGCCTCCTCTTCTCTAGACTAAACAACCCCAGTTCCCTCAGCCGCTCCTCATAACGTACTCAGAACTCCTATGCAATATTTCATTCCTTCTCTTCTAGTAGGGTTTGCATGTGTTTCCGTGCTCAGTTCAAATTTGCTTGGTAGCTGATATGAGATCAAGAACTGCAGTATCGTAATACTTTTAGGTATGTAATTATTGCAGTGAGTAGCTCATTTAAAGAAGGAAGGGAAATCAAGCTCCCATTCAAAAGGGGAAAAGTTCATTTTGAGAAAGCAGAACAACTTACCCTATTTTGAAAAAATGACGCATGAAAATGTGACGTTGTAGCAGATATTGATACTAATGTAATTGTTTCTTCTGAGCTAGGGTTATGTAGGTAAACTTTTTCCATTTTTGGCATTCCAACTGGCCTGTCGAAACAGAGAATATTTGTAAATTGTTAGAGTTCTAGAAAATAGAGCATTGGGCTTTGTCACATTAAACCAGATAGGAACATAACAATGATGAACGCTAACAGTAGAACTTTGCATTAGATGTTTTTTCAAGTAACATACTCAAATTTCACCTTGAAGAATTACTTAACACCTTTTAGTTAACATTAGTTAATATCTTTTCCATTATTTTATTGATTAGTTTTCCTGAAGGATTAGGTAATGTTGTATCATCCTCTAAAATGACACCTATCCAAAATGAAATTCTATTTTTCGGGTTTTTACTTCAGAAACAGAAGAGACAAAGTTTTCTATTCCTGTGCTAGAACCTCTAGATAATTATCTTAAGAAAGGTTGCAGACAGCAACTTAAAATAAACAGAACATGCCCTAGACAAAACTCTAAGCACAGTTTTTTTCCTGATAGATTTTAAGTAGTCTTCCCAGAACCTAGAATTTTTCTGGTATTATATTTTATACTATGCTATACAGAATTAAGCACACACATATGTGCAGCAACAACAATTTTATTTGTACATTGCATTTGAATTCACACTTTAAGGAAAAAAATAAGAAATTGAGATAAATTCTAGAATTTAAGAAGTCTAAAACACAGAAGTCAAACAGTTAAACAGCAGCACACTTTTCCAGTAATAAGACATGCTAACAGTTTATTCCACACAACCTTTAGGCTTGTTTCTTTTTGCTTACAACAGCTGACATGACAATAAAAGCTTTAGTTTCACCAATTATTTTTCAGACTTTGGTATCTCTCCACAATTTTTTCCATGCCTTTTAACACATACGTGTTAAGCATCAGCATCAAAGCAGTAATAAAGCATGTAAATTACAATTTGCTCCAAATTAAATTTTGGCATTCAAAATAATTAACTCTAATCTTTCAGGCTACACATATTCCATGTATCACTACCTCTCATGTCACCTGCTCCAAACATTGCAAGGACTGCAAAACTATTGATAAGAATTACTACTACCTGTAGTACCTTAATTGATGATGACCAATAACAGGCAGTTGTTCTGCCATCCTCCATTAACTTTAACAGGCCAAATTAATAAGCACCATTGTAGCTGCACAGTTTTTCAACTGGGGAAGGAAGAGAGGCACATGTCTCAATAGATAAAGCAGTGTAAGTTTGCTGTAAATTAAAGGTTCCGTTGAATGGAGGATTTAGCAACAGTAATCAAACTATACCACAATTTGCAAAGTGATTGTGGTAACAGACAGAACCTCCTACTTATAAAACACAGGCTAAATAGATGGATGCTAAAGACCATGATATTAATTCAAAGACACAATTATTAATTTTCAATAAACTGCATAATCACTAACAATAGAATGTGTCTGCACTCTACTACTCTAAATCTCTTTGCTTTGCTGAGTCTTCCTAATTTCATGTCTCCATCAGCAAACTTCTTGATCCTTCTTTCACTGTCAAAAAATCTCATTTTGACTTCTCTAATTTAACTAGTAATGAAGATGACAATTTTTCTCCTCACCATTTAAAACCTGTACAAAACCTAATATCCAGTTTAAGACAGAACATGAAAGTATCTGTATCTGCTGCCAGTATACATGGTGATATTAGAAACAGAAATGGTTTATCAGCTGGGATGTTTTGCATTAACTGCTGTAATTGCTACACAGTTGATAAATGCAATCAAACAGTAAACCTATACACTTGTTCTCCGTTTGCTATGGAAAAGCTCATCATACTCTCATTCAGGAATCTGAATGAGAGTCAGCCCTCCAAAGTTCCCCATCTCTACCCCACTCCCAGAAAACAAACAAACAAACAAACAAACAAAAACTACCCACAAAACAACAACTGAGAAAAGCATCTGCTGATACGGAGTTACCATGCACCCTCTGAATTCTGAACCCACTGCTTCAAACGCTCCTTCACTAACACTGGTACAGACGGGCTTGAGTATTTTACCTGCTTGGTAACTGTGAAAGGCATAAACAAGCTTTTATAACAGTCAGCAATTTCACTGCAAATTCATTGTTTAGAGAAAGCGATCGTGCCTTCAACAAGTACTCTGTGATTCTACCAACACACACACACAGGCCAACACCTCCAACATTGAAGAAAGCTCTTTCAGTCTCTCCTCCTGAGAACCAGCTGTCTGTTCCCTAGTTCTCATAGCAATTTTTCATTTTCCTCAGTGGAAGACATGCTCCCAGCACCTTGTTGTAACTCTTTTGCTTGCCACGGTGAAGTTTCTGGATACTTCTCTTTCCCAGAGTGTGTTCAAAAGCTCCCCAAGAAGGGGAAACAATCAATCATTCTCCTCTCCAACTGGTCTTCATAAGAGGACCTTAAGAGCCGAAAACAAGAATCAAGCAGACCAGTTTCCACCAACCACAACAGCAGGAAGTGAGAGAATAAGGCAGATTTTAAGCACTGTATTACTTGTGAGCAAACGACATGACTAGCGGATCATCTGTGGTCTCTACAGAAAATCAGCTGTATACTGAGAATCTAAGACCAGAGTTGACCTAAGTGACAGTTTTTGATGCACAACGTCTGAAACACCACAAAGCCAAGAAAACTATGTTGAATGAATGAGTAATGCTGAAGTGCCAGCCGGTTCCTGTCAAAAAGGTAGTTCGGAAGTAAAACTCATTATCCTAGGAAATGTTTCAAATTTTAACAATCTTTTAAGGCCTTCATGCTTTTCCAGTTCTGAAAAGAGGGGAATATAAATCATCATATTTAACATGCTAAAGCCTACAAAACAACTAGTAGGGAAGCAGCCATGACATTACAGTTCACTGACTTCAGAGTCCAGACTAAACCACCACGGTATAATTAATTATAGGTGGTAAAGGCAGAAGTCACTACAAAGGAATTCTGTTGCTAGGACACTGTTTTATTTTACTACTTTATTGACCATTCTGATTTTGAAACAATGAGTCCAGTATTATGTTTTGCTCAGATACAGCTTTCCCTATATTCCTTAAGCTTAATGTTAGCCAAATCTATAGAAACAGACAAACCTCACTTGTTTTTTCTGCCATCAGACATAGTAAAATCCAGGTGTGCATCAGACACCTTTAATGAACCTACATCCCAAGCACTAATCATGTAAGGGATGCTCTCCAGGCTGCAGATTATGAAGCCGCAATGATCTGCACAAGTATAGAGTTACCTGGTGCCAAATTTCACAGCACATTTTACATTTTCCTGGAGTAGTCACAGCTAACACTTTTCCTTGCAACAAGCCAGTACAGACACACATCTTCAGGCAAACATGAACTGTCAAAGCACGTAAGATTTTGCTCCTGATCTTTTGTCCCTGCATAATGGTACGTCCACCTACACTGATAAAAAAACAGATACCACAACCTAGATGAGAAGATGGTAATTAAAAAGGGTGAGGTGCCTGTTCAAATGGGTAAAGAAGCCTGTGTTCACGTCCTTTACTGCTGCAACTTAACTCTTTCCAAAGTCTGAGTTAGTACCTGCAGTGTATATTGTAAGCATGACCTTGTAACGGAATTCATTGCTGCTCTAGTGATCAAGAGGTAGATTATTTTAACAAAGGAAACCAGCTCCTGCAAAAAAAGTTGGGGATATGAGTCCTTGAGTTATTGGCTCAAACTTAACCTGCAAAAATATCTAGCTACCCACTGTGAAGCAAATATAAATTGAGAAAATGCCCTTTTAAAAGAGTAATTACAGTTTTTCTTACTGCATATAGCTTAGACACCTCTATAAAATGCTCACGTGATTTATTGAAACTGATACAAATCTACACTGAAAAGCATAGGATATAAATTCAGCAGATACAGTCTTCCTTTTCCACCTCCTTTCCAGTGAGACTGGAAAGAAAACTGAAGCCAACCAAAAGCTTCCCACTTAGACTTTGGAGTTACAGGAAAAGCAAACGTTTCACATGCATTAAATCAGTATCCTGTGTCAGAAAGGAGTGAGTAGCAGATGCATAAAAGGCGAAAGTGTAATAATGGGGAAAACGTACAGTCACGTGCCCAGAAAGCTCTCCTAACTTCTACATATATGCAGCTTGGGAACTTCCTGAACCAGTACAGATGAGTCTCCAGTCAGATCAGAGATAATGAGCTTCAACAATACGAACTTGGGTGTTGGCTTGTAATATATCCAGCTACTTTTAATTAAATGAAATGAGTTAGTCTTACAAGATTACCTCTAGAGACTGAAAGGGAATGTCTTCTGTACCTCATTCTAAAGAAAATGCTAGTTCCTCACATGAAGGAAGCCTGCATGATGTACAGGACTAGAGAATTAGCGACTACAGCATTCTTCTTATTTCACATGAAGTCATACACATCACTGGTTGAGTGATGCCAGCAAGTTGCTTCTTTAACTGAAGTAACTGAAGCACGTAAGTTTGAGAATGCAAATGCATCTAACTAACTCAGAAAAGTAAAAGAAAACAGAAGGGTTTGGGTTTTGTATACATACTGGCCTATAGACCAACTGTTTCTCAACTTCCAGATTTCACTGGCTTTTAATAAATCAAGAAAGTTCTTTTATGTTACACTTGACAAAAAGTTAGTGTCCATATAACATATTAAACAAAGCAAACACCCCATTTTATGTTAGGAATCTTAGATCCCATACAATAAATCATATCTTTTCCAAAAAGGCTAGCAAAACCTCATTTACAAAACATCAGTAGTAGAGTCTTATCCAATCATGTCACCAACCATGATTTGAATGAATCTAAGAGAATAATAAACTATTATTCGCTTTGTCAGCATTTTGCAGTCTAGCATAATATGCAAACAAAACCAGACGGAGATCCGTAGAAATGTCAATTTACTGTCAAGTTTCTTAAACAAAGCAAGGTTGTTTATCAATAGAAAAACGAAAGACAGATTTTCAGAATACAGTCCTACCACTGAGAAAACTTGCCCAGAGTCTCCACTGCCCAGAGTATCCTTGCTCAAATGGAGTGAAGCAAGAACCTCCATTCACCACAGAAGCATATGTTGATCAAGGATTAAACTATTACTTTTGCTAAAAGTATCATTTCATACACTGCCAACCATTTCTATGAAGCAGGGGTAAGATGTCAGTTCCATTTTTAAAATAATTCCAAATTTTAAAATTTTGATGGCAAGCAGTTCTAGCTTATATTGTGTTAGTATCCTAAAATACTCAATACCCAAGTGCTCTATTACCAAAAGTTACTTCTACCAAAAACCTCATTGTGAACTTACAAACTTTACTTTCGATATAGTCAGAGTTGAATTAACACAGATGAAGGTAATGTATCAAGATCTATGAAGATTCAAGTTCTCCCACAAAACAGGTGCAAGAACTGAATATAAACTTTCCTGCAATAGTATTCCTCTATCTTCACCCAGATAGGTCACCTGCACGAGCTCTAATATAAAGACTTGTATCAAACACAAGAAGCCATATTAAGTAATGACTTTTCTGCCAAAACAGCCTCTGAGCAACCAACTCCCAGAGTTGTAGAGGTCAACGTAATGGTTGCTGTCTGTATGATAGAACATCTCAATTACTCCATTCCCAGTTAACAACAGGGGAGAGTAACAGATTATAAAAGAGATTACAAGGAACAAAAGGCAGCTAAGAATAAAGGCAGCTAGTTGTGGAGTTGGTTTTGGGTGCGGGGCTTTTTGCTTGCTTTTCTTTAAAGCCCCAAATTTCCAATATCCAACATGTTGCAGAATTTGTTCCAGAGGAAGACTGGTGTTGCTTCAGAAACACACAAACAAGATTTTCACATTAAATAACTAAATGAGTATTCCACTTAGTCCAAGCAGTCCCCTGGAGCAGTGATATGGGAGAACCTGCTTCAGTTCCACCCCATTCCCAGAGGCCTAATGTATACAGAGAACATTTGGGATCTCTTCAAGTGAGCTAAAGATTTGCATATCCTAACATACAGCATACATGTTCTTTGATAAATGCGAGATTATCTGGACTGCCTTCAAAGTGGTAGAATATCGTATGGTTTATTTTGTATTAAAACAGCATTAAAAAAGCCCCAGTTGTTATAAACCAGTAGTATAAGGCCACTGTAATCTCATCTCCAGGTGGAACACAGGAAATGTGTCTACAGCACTCATTTATTAACTTAATACTGATTTTGACTTTTTGAGATCCCTAGATAAAATAGCTTTTAATAAATATTACTCCTGCTCAAGTTGGCATGTTTTTGAAACATCTGATTAAACCCAAGCAGTCTTAAGCAGACCAAAAGGGTCACAGAAATAATGGGTTGTTTTACAACTGAAATTAAATATGGCAACTTTCTTTAGCCGCTAATGATACACGTTGATCGCTCAGCATAAACATGAACTTTGAACAAGCTTCCTCTACTAATTGCTACATGCTACCTATAAACAAAACACTCTTTAGGTACAATACTTATTCAGAAACTAAATATGCATTTTATGCTTTTCCTAAAATCCATTATTAACAAAGAAACAAAAGTCAGAATTTGAATGTGAAAACCCTGTCTATTTTAAAAGGCAAAAAAAGCAAAAAGCTTAAATTTGCATTATTTGACTTCCAAGGTGCTTGGCACCTGCAGTTTGTTCCCACCATAAAGTTGAGTTAGCATTGTCCAGAGTTGGTTCACTTTTGTTTAAATGCCTAAGTACAGATTTTAAACTGAACTTTGGGACTCCATAACTAAACCTTTTCTAAAACTGTTTATGACATCTTACTGAAGTTTTAATAAATCAGAAGATGTTTTCTTCTTGAGATTATGACCTAAACTACAACAGAGAAATTAATTATCACATACTGTTAGAAAATAAAATAAACAGAACACATAATGAACCAAGATCTAACACACAGGTTCCCTATTTCAACTGACAGAAGGCAGCAATCCCCCAACGCAGTTCTACATTTATTGCACAGAGCCCTTCCTGGAGTGTAAGAGATTTCTTCAATGCTTTCAGCTCTGACAAGAACAGCTTACATAAAAAGCCAAAATATGATGAAGAAAAGCTTAAAGTATTTATGATACTGTCTGGGACCTATTTTTAGCAAGGAAAAAAAAAAAAAAAAAGCATTTTTGGAAATCCACAAAGCAAAGAAGCACATGTAGTGTTCTTCAGGTAAGCATGCAAACTATAGATGACCTTTAAAATCAAGATATTTCACAGTACATCAAGAAAACACTTTATTCACATTAGAAAAAGGTGCATAAAATACATTTCAAATGTCAGATTCTGCAATTGCTATAAATTGAAAACTTTTACAATTTTAAGAGAAAAATCACTTAAAACCAAATGAATAGGTAAGTTTACAGTCACTTTAATAAAGAGCAGACTGCTCTACGAGTTTGAGTTTGTGCTGCACTCAGCATTATAATTTGTTAACTATAACCTAATTTTGTTATAACAGAGATGCAGTAGAGCACGGCTTACCACTAGGTATTTTACTATTCAATTTAGAAGCTCAATATCCTCTTACCTAGGACCAGTTACTGACACGACAAAAAATGAAACAACACACAGTATCAAAAGCTAGAGATCCTGAAATTTTGAAGGAATGAGGAGACAGAGTGATTTATTGTGCCTTCACTCATAAGTAAAAGTTACAGTTTTTTTAGACTGAGCACAAATAAATTCTGTAAAATGAGGCATTTCCATATAGCTTTGCTATTTAGTGGCATTACACGTGATTTTTTTTATATATAAAGTTTATTTCTGGAAAACTACTCTGTGCAAACAATATACAGTTACAGCCTCTCTTCTTTCAGAAACACATAAGTATACACCATGTCAATACACATGAGCTTCCTTGCACATCTCTATAGTCACCGCACTGTACAATGGTCCTTCCTACAGACAAGGAATACCGTATTTTTTAACGACAATTTATGGTTTATCTGTAAATAAAGCAGCCTTTCATCCAGCTGCAGTGCTGGCTGAGGATGGGGGAAACAACACTGTGCTAAGGCACACCTGGGTTGTGTTATTTTTTCCAGGTTGAACTGTTAAAAAAATGTTTGAAATGTCCCCACTGCTGTTTACCTTGTGTCAAAATATCAACCACACACAGAGGCTGCATTAAGTGTACACCAACTCCAGAAGTCATTTTGACCATTAACAGGAAGAGTGATGTAGCTACCTATACACAGTAACCTGTTAGGGTAAGAAAAGTTAAGACTGAAGTGTTTCTCAGAGGAACTGATTACAAACAGCTACATTGTTTAAATTATTAAACTTCCTTCCTCCTCCCTTTCTTTCATCTTTTAAAGAAGTCACAGGTAAGTTTGCTGTACATTACATACAGCCACTGAGTATCAAAACAAACCAGCTGCAAGATGGAGCATGGAACTAGGTTCTTGGAGGCTGTTTGTTCTCCTTGAGGCTATATTTTCATTGACAAGGTTATTTTGCCACCAAAGCAGTAGGAAAGTGGACATGCTAGAGTAGATGCTGTCTGACGTGGGTGACGTACAAGCAGAAAGGTAACCTCACCTTAGTGCATTAAGTTCTAGACTTAAAACTGTTTCCACTCGGCAGAGCAGCTGTATGAGTAACTAAAAAGTAAGAGTACCTACACTACCAAAACCATAGAAGCTGATAGGTTGCTACAAGATACTTAAGACAAAGTACACCAGCTCTCTGGAACATGTAGGTCAACTACACTTATAGAAAATCTACCAAACCAATTTACGTATACAACCTTCTCCATCAATTGAGATTATAATCTCTTGAGATTATTTTTTCTGTTTGTCTAACTAAACAGATCAAAAGACTTTTCAACTTACTGTTCATGGAAATCCAGCATTGGTGGCTCAAACCGGAGAGGTCGACAATTTCCCCGATACAGGGATACACTGCAAGAAAAATTAAAATGCTGTAACAGATACCGTTAAATTATACATTTTTGCTCCCTTCCCACCTCATTAGCAAAACATTCATTAATATTAATAACAGGGCAACTAATTCAAAAGAAGAAACTGCCTGACAAACTTGTCCAGTCAGAATACCATAATTTTACCACCCACTCACAAGATCACGTGGTATTTCCAAGAACAATTATGCAAGGTTACAAATCTTCGAAACGGACATAACTGAAGTGTTAGTTTTCCTCTATATAGTGAATGGTTAAGTGAAAAGTAAGCTAAATAGGTTTATATCATCTTTCACAGCAATATCCAAACATCTTCCTCAATGTATAACAGTCATTTACATACACATCATGACTTTCTCTAGCTACATCTATACTAGTACATAAACAATCTTGGGCCCATTTGACGGTACTGAGGCCACATGGGAGAAAATAGTCCCTCGTCTATACTGTTAAAAACTCACCATCTCCAGAAGACAGCAACTCTGCTCTAGAAATATTCCTTAGCTTTGCTTATATTAACCTTCCCCTCAGAACTCTTTAAGAGCATGTTAGCAGATAAAGACTAAAACTTGAATACCCCTCAAACAATCCAGCAGTGAAGACCACAAAGTATCTGTAAATGTCCTCTACTACTACTTTTTTTACCGGTACAGTTATATGGAGCACAATCAATTACCCACAACATAAATTACAAGAAAAAATACAAAACAGTTTCATTGAGTGAAACATTTTCTTATTCAGAATGATGACTGTGACCACACTTAAGTATCTCCGTAATTCGGTAACACTTTATTTTGGGCTCAGTAAAAATAATATTCGTACCATAAAGATAAACCAGGGAGACAATAACGTAAAAAAAATAAACAGGAAAGGCCAAACAATGGCTCAAGACCCATGGCTTTCTTTTTTTTCTTTAAATGCTTTTGTTACTCATATTAAAACAACAGTCTCATTTTAGATCCTTGTTTTTTGACTTTGCATCAAACAATCCTAGACGCCCAAAGAGTGTAAGCAAAGGTAAGCAAAGCTGCTCCACAAATCCAGCCAGGGCAGCAGAACTGCCCAGTTCTGCCTCAACAGAGGGAGAAGCCAGGAGAGGGAAGATGCCCTTGGGCAGGCACAGGGGGCTTGCCTTATGAAAGCTGAGGCCTTGAACTCAATCCAATTCCATCCAGCATACTTCCAGGAAAACTGATTATTGATCAAATTCAGATGTCTTTCCATACTCCAGAGCCACTTCAGCAAGGAAGCTATTTACAGGAGTAAAAATTTAAGAATAGAGTATGAAAAATGAACTGTATATTCTAATAGCACAGATCTGGGCAACAGCAACATTATAACAAATCAACAGGTACTTTTTAATAAAAATACAGTGTCTCAATGACTCATTCTAGTACTCTAAATCTTCACACTTCAAGTACAATACACATGTAATAGGGATGTCTATTCATGCTGATCGATTTAAAGCTCTCTAACCTTGGATGTCGACGCATCATCAATACTACTTTGAGCTTAAGTCATTAAAAATATCTTTATCAACACAATAAAAGTAAAAGACTACTGCGGCAAGAGTAGGCATAGTCAGCTCCAGTGTATACTTACATACGTGCGTGTGTGTGCATGCACACACATGAGTACATGTGTGTATAGATCACAAAACAATAGAAGTGAAGGTGTAAGATACACCAATAGGAAGAACTGTATTCAGATCTACAGAAAATTACAATTCCTGCTACTATTAAGTTCCTCTGTGACTCATTACAGTTGTCAAAGAAGAAAGAGCTTAGGTATACCTTCTCAGGCTAAAACCAAACCTTGTGGAACAAGGGTTCAAAAAAAATTAAGTTTATTCTCTTATGTCCACTGTTTCTGTAAAGTTGTAAAATCATATGAGCAGTGACATTTTGAAAGGATAAAACAAGCTGATAGTAAGTCTTTAAAATTATCACCTCACTTTTCAAAGTTTATGGGCCAATTTCATGAAACATTTAGAGTGCATTTTTAAACTGAAAAGGACAAAAAGATCATGTACCTCTGTGTCAACATAACACTAAACAGAAACCACTCTTCTTCCATAAGGATTTTTTAAATAGTTCTGTCAATTTCTTACAATTTCAGAACACTGAACAGTCAGCCAGCATCTCTTTTTTTATTGGTAAGAAGATATATAAATTCCTTTCATGGAAAAGGTTATCAGAAATATTTACAGTATTCACAAAAGCAATAATGAAGATCTTTATTTCAAATGCATTGAAAATACAGTCAAGAGTAACTTGACCCAACTTTAACAATCAGGACATATACAATTCTCCATATACATGAAAAGTTTAAGCAATATTTTCTCAGACTGCATAGCTTTATTATCCTGGATAGCCATTTAGATAACACAGAATTTTTAAATGGCTAAAGTTTGCTAAAGGCATCTACATCATAATGACTGCCAGCTACTATAATAAATGTAACAACTGTAATAAGATTCAAATGGCAACAAGCAATATCGGGATTCCCAAACTTTGCTTACTGAAAGGCCCAACATGAATTAGCTTGCAACAGACTTACAAAATTATGATGTCTGCTCTGCTGGGCACTTGCTCACTGAAGGATGGATACACCCATGGGTAGGGCAACTTTACAGCATAATGACATTTAAGTTAATTACTAGCGTATGCATGTAGAGCTATGGCTCCTGGTCTTATATCAGAA